TGACTCTAGTCTGTTCCACCCTCCTGCTTTGGAGCCCAGGGTGAGTGTGTCTGCAAACAAGATTTTGTGCATTGGCCCTTTAAGAGGGCACCTGTATCTCTGGCACACTCTCGTCTCTCCCTGGCAGACAGAATCACCACATATTTTCATAGCCAGATGTTCTGTGAGTGCCTCTTCCTGGCTGTGTTCTCTGGGCTGGGGAGCCCAGTGTGGGGGTCTCACTCCTCAGGGGAAGCTTTGCAGCTGAGATAGCCCTCAGCAATCAGTCTTTGCCTGTGGGAGTAGGTCAGCCCTTTCTGTGTCTCTGCCCTTCCTACCAGTCTCCATGTGGCTTCTTCTATAAATTCTTGGTCATACGACTTTTGTCCCGTTAGTCTTCAGTTGGTTTTTCAGGTTGATTGTTCTATAATTTAGTTGTAATTTCAGTTTGGTCCTGAGAGGAGGTGAGTGTAGCTTCCAGAGTGTAGTCCTTGGTCTGGCTGCTGTCACTCCTGGTGACCTTGAACTTTGTTCATATTCAGTGGCTCTTTCCTTTCTGACCACTGATTTGTATTTCATTGTAGGGCTGTTCTACACTTTGTTTATTCCTCTGTTGATGGTATTCTAGGTTGTTGGTATTTCCACATACATTGTAGAATTAGCTTTTTAATTCCTACCAAACTTGCTGTGGTTGGATTGGGATTGAATTGAATTTGGGGAAAATTGGTGACTTGACACTACCAAGTCTGATTTATGAATGTAGTATATTTCTCCATTTCTTTTATTCTTTCAGTAATATTCTGCAATTTTCAATGTGGGGCTTTTGTAAGTTTTTTTGTTAAATTTACTCCTAGGTATTTTTTGTTTTTAGATATTACTGTAAATGGGATTGCCTTTTAAAGCCATTTCCCTGTTTTTGCTAAAGTATATAAGAGTACAATTGAGTTTTGTGTTAATCTTGTAGTCTGTAACTTTGTTAAAGTAATTCATTAGTATTAGTAGTTATTTTTTAGATTCTGTGTAAGTAACCAGATCATCTGCAAATAAGGACAAAGAGGTGATAACCTCTTTTTATTCTTGCTGTTGATGACTTGTTTTTTTTTTCTCTATTTTTATTGATTAATTAGTTGTTTGTCCATATTAACGATCTTTTCAAAGGATGTGCTTTTGAGTCTAATTTTCTCTATTGCCTCTTTTCTATTTTGTTGATTTTACTCTGTAGTGTTATCTTTTCTCTATTTACTTTTATTTTTGTAGCTTCTTACCAATTAACTTTAGGTCATTGTTTTTAGATATTTTTTAATACAAACATTTCAAAGCTGTAAGTTTTCCTCTAAATACTGCTTTAGCTTTGTGCCACAAACTTAGATATATTAATATTGCTATCATTCAGTTCAGAATATTTTTTAGTGTCCCCTTTTAAAACTGAGATATAATTCACACACTAAAACTCAGCATTTAAAAGTGTAGTCAGTGGTTTGTAGTGTATTTCACAAGTGATGGGATGTGCAGCCATTAACACTAATTCCAGAATAATTTTATCACTTCATAGACTCCCCTTTGCCTTTTGCCTTTGACTGGTAAGTTACTAAGAAAAGGATTGTTTGGTTTTCAGATATTTGAGATTTCATAGGTAGCTTATTGATTTCTAATTTGATTTCCTTTCAGTCTGAGAATACACTTTATATGATTTCAGTCCCTTTATGTTTATTGGGACTTACTTCGTGATATAATATGTGCTCTACCTTGGTGAATATATAATATGCATTAGAAAGGAATGTATATTCTATAGTTTTTGGATGTAGTGTTCCATCGATGTTATTTATATGAAGTTGATTGATACCTTGTTGCTCAAATTATTTATGTTCTTGCCTTTTTTTTAGTTATTTCTGTAAATTGCTGAGAGAGGGGTGGTAAAATCTCCAATTATGATTATGGAATTGTCTTTTTCTTCTTTAAACCCTGTTGCTTTTTTTTTTTTTGCTAAACAACAATACATTTATTTCTCTCAGTTCTGAAAGCTAGGAGTCCAAGATCAAGGTGGTAAATCCTGCCAACTTTTGCTTTATGTATTTCAGGCTCTGTTATTAAGTACATGCATATTTATTATTATTATCTATTCTGGTTAATTGTCCTTCTTATCACAATGACGTATTCTTCTTTATCTATGGTAATACTCTTTTTTTTAAGCTTTGTTTTAACTGATTTTGAAATAGGCACTCTAGCCTTTTTGTGTTTACTGTTTGAATGGTATATCTTTTACCATCATTAACTTCATACCAATCTGTGTCTTTATATTTGAAGTGTTTCTTATAGGCAGCATATTGTAGGGTCTTGATTTTTTTGTTTATTCTTCCAAGATCTACTTTTTACGAAACACTTAGACCATTAACATTTATTTATTTATTTATCCTCATTCGAGGACATTTTTGCATTTATCTTCAGATAGAGCGGGAGGGAGAAAAGAAGGAAGAGAGAGAGAGAAACATCGATGTGAGAGAGACACACTGAGTGGTCGCCACCCACACGACCCCAACTGGGGCCAGGGACGAACCACACCTGTGGTACGTGCCCTTAGTGGGAACCTAACCCGGGACTCTCATGGACCTAACCGAGGGTCCATGGGCCGAGGCTCTAACCGCTGAGCCAGTCCGGCCAGGACTAGACCATTAACCTTTAATGTAATTGTTATAGTTAGATTTAGGTCTAATATTTTACTTATGTATTTGTTTGTTTGTACATATTTAACCTTTCATTTTAAATTAATGCCTCACTTGGCATCACGTTACACTTCACACGGTGTTGCAGTGCAGCAGCACCCTCAGTCCCCCTCCCCGGCCTGTTGTTCTGCGTGGAACAGTACATCCGCAGACTGTAGAGTGTCCGTTCCTTCCAATGCATATTATATATTCACCAAGGCCACATACTGTATCACGAACCAACAAAACAAAGTTTTTGTTTCTCTCTTAAATCAGGATATCAATTTTAAACTTCTTGGAGGAAGAAAACAGTATTTTATGTTTGCCCAGGTGTTGACCATTCCTGCAGCTGGAAGGAACCCCCGCAGCACCCCTGCAGGGCGGACGGCTGGCCTGTCCTCTCGCGCCCCCTGGTGAGCGCTCTGCGCCCCTTCCTTCCTGCAGGATGGTCCTTGGGTGTACAGTTCTGGGCTGAGAGTAATTCTCTCAGGACTTCAGCGATGCCCTGCTCTCTTCTTGCTTTCTTGGTTTTTCATGAGAAATCTGTGGTAATTTCACTCATTGCTTTCCTGTATTTAATATGTCAATGTTCTCTAGGTGCGTCAAGACTGCTTTCCTTGTCTTTGGTTTTTGGCAATTTTGTTATGTTTCTAAGTGTGATTTTCTTTGTGTTTATCCTTTTTGGGGACACTGATTTTGAATCTATGCATTTATGGTTTTCACCTAATTTGGGAGATTGTCAGCTGTTATTTCTTCAAATATTTTTTCTGGGACATACCTTTTTTCCTATTAATCTTGGGTCCCACTGTAAGTGGGACCTCTTGTGACTGTTCCTCGGGTCCTTGGTCTCCTTTAAAAACATTTTCTCCCGTGTCTTCCTTAGAATGGACGATTTCTGCTGTTTTATGTTTATCTTCAAGCTCGTGAATTCCTCTGTCATTTCTATTTCTTCTGTTGAGTCCTTTAGAGAGTTTCTTATTTCAGATATGATGTTTTTGTTTAAATTTTTTTTTTTTTTTTTACTTTCAAAAATAGTTTTCACTTCTCTGGGGAGAATGCCTGTCTTTTGTTGATTTTATTTTATTTTTTATCCTCACTCGAGGACATTTTCCCAATTTCTGTTCAGATAGAGTGGGAGGGAGAGAGAGAAAGAGAGAGAGAAACATTGACATGAAAGGGACATATCGAGTGGCTGCCTCCCGCAAGACCAACCAGGGCTGGGGACAAACTGCCCTTAGCAGGAACCAAACCCGGGTCTCTCCAGACCGCAGGCCGATGCTCTAACTGCTGAGCCAAACCGGCCAGGGCTATTTTAAAAGTACTTTTTTTTTTTTTTTTACCGCATGGAACAGAGTTATGATAGCTAATTTAAAGTCTTTTGTTAATTCCAACATTTGGATCATTTTGGGATTCGCACCTGTTGACTATCTGTGTCCTTGAGAATCAGACTCATCTTACTGTTATGTTTGTGTATCCTGGACAGTAAGTCAAATGCATGAAATGTCGCCCCCTGGAGGATGTGAGTGTCTTTGTTGTTGCAGGTAATGAACTTGCTTAGACTCTGCCCTGCATTCCGTGGGTGGTGGAAACTCAGTGGTTCACTGCCTTTGCCATGCTGGTGTGGGTCTAGTTTAGGGGTTGGGCGACTTACGTGTGTCACACAGGAGGTTGGAGCACCTGCTTCTTCGACACTGTCCTCTAGGATTGCACCCACAGTCTCTTCTATCTGGAGGGGCTTCTTCCCTGGTCCCTGGGCAGAGCAGTTTGTGTTGGAGTTGAAGCCGTCCGGCTGGGACTGAGGCATTTCCCACCAGGGCTTCCCCTGTGGCAGCGACCTGCGGAAACCCCAGCTCTGTGGGTAGCTTCTGCAGGTTTTCAGTCCACCCAGGCAACCTGGTTTCATGTACTTTCCACGTCTTCCGGATGCTGTCTTTTGTCCAAAGTATTTAGTTGTGATCAGCAGGAAGGACGGCTCAGATGGTCAGAGCAGAACAGGTTTCCAGTCAGTTCACTTCAACCTTGTGTTGCAGACGGAGATCTGGGCTGTCCCCGCGGCACCAGGCTGTCCGCTCCTGCCTGTGCCCTGCAGCGCTGGCCCTTCTTCCGGGGGCATGTCTGGGGTGTGGGCCAGTCTCGGGGTGGAGCAGATGAGGTCATACGTGTGAATGTGCTCTGGAGACGGAAAAGGAGTCTTCAGGTGGTCGGCAATGCTGCTGTGTGTGTGCACGCGCGTGTGCATGTGTGCGCGCACATGTGTGCACGCGTGTGCGCACAGCCTCCGCCCCGCCCCAGCAGCGGCATCAGCACTGCTCTCCCTTCCAGGCGCTGCCCGGACCTCACTACTACGCCTGGGGGGACCATGGCGGCATCATCGTGGCGATCGCCCAGGGCACGGAGACCAGCGAGCTGAAGTAAGTGTCTGAGGTCGCCCTCTTCACACCGCACTGTCCCCACAGACGCGCGTCTGGCGAGCGGATTGTGTCCTGCGGCACTGCGGCTGGCGGCACAGTTTGTGAGGTCAGGAAGCCTGTGGCACTTGGCCTCTGTGTGACGGGAGAGATAACCCGCTCCTAGCTCCAGGGGCTCCCGAGGAGGAAGTGAAATGATTGTATGGATCTGAAAAGTACAGCTCTGTTTACATGTGCATTAATCATGATTTAAAAATTACCCACAACCCTGGCTGGTGTCGCTCAGCGGTTAGAGTGTCAGCCTGTGGACCAGAGAGACCCGGGTTTGGTTCCCGCTAAGGGCACGTACTCCGGGTGCAGTTTGTCCCCGGCCCTGGTTGGGGTTGTGTGGTTGGCAACCACTCGATGTGTCTCTCTCACATCGATATTTCTCTCTCTCTCCCTCCCACTCTGAAGATAAATGCAAAAATATCCTCTGGTGAGGATTAAAAAAAAAAAATTTAACCACAGCCCTGGCCGGATTCGCTCAGTGGGCAGAGCATCAGCTTGACCACCACAGGGTTGTGAGTTCCATTCCTGGTCAAGGGTACGTGCCTGGGCCGCAGGTTTGATCCCTGGCTGGTCAAGGCATGTGCAGGAGACAATCAGTGTTCCTCCCTCACATCGACGTCTTTCTCTTTCTCTCTGTCCCCACACCCCGTCCACTCTCTTCAGAAATCAATGGAAAGAATATATTTAGGTGAGGATTAACAAAAATTATTTTTAAAAAATTACAGATTCTTTGTATGTTACACACATGCTGACATATACGCATACAGTGGGGGACGATAGATAGTAATGATACATGAGTAATAACTTGAGGGTATGTATAAACGGATAGCCATTTGACTTGCTGTCATATATTTCGAGGCTCTTACTAATGGAACTGGAAAGCACATTTGGGGTTGACCACTTATTCTACAGGTGGGAAGACAGGCTCAGCAACGGAAGTGATCTGCCCAGTGTCCCCATTAGTCACTGACAGGAAGGCCCAGCACCAGGCCTCCCGTCCTGCCCTGTGCTGCTCCCAACAGCAGGAATGTCGGAAGGCCCAGCACCAGGCTGCCGTCCTGCCCTGTGTGCTCCCAACAGCAGGAATGTCGGAAGGCCCAGCACCAGGCTGCTGTCCTGCCCTGTGTGCTCCCAACAGCAGGAATGTCGGAAGGCCCAGCACCAGGCCCCCCGTCCTGCCCTGTGTGCTCCCAACAGCAGGAATGTCGGGAAGGCCCAGCACCAGGCCCCCCGTCCTGCCCTGTGCTGCTCCCAACAGCAGGAATGTCGGAAGGCCCAGCACCAGACCCCCGTCCTGCCCTGTGCTGCTCCCAACAGCAGGAATGTCGGGAAGGCCCAGCACCAGGCCCCCCGTCCTGCCCTGTGCTGCTCCCAACAGCAGGAATGTCGGAAGGCCCAGCACCAGACCCCCGTCCTGCCCTGTGCTGCTCCCAACAGCAGGAATGTCGGAAGGCCAGGCACCAGGCCCCCCGTCCTGCCCTGTGTGCTCCCAACAGCAGGAATGTCGGAAGGCCCAGCACCAGGCCCCCCGTCCTGCCCTGTGTGCTCCCAACGGCAGGAATGTCGGAAGGCCAGGCACCAGGCTGCCGTCCTGCCCTGTGTGCTCCCAACAGCAGGAATGTCGGAAGGCCCAGCACCAGGCCTCCCGTCCTGCCCTGTGTGCTCCCAACAGCAGGAATGTCGGGAAGGCCCAGCACCAGGCCCCCCCCCGTCCTGCCCTGTGTGCTCCCAACAGCAGGAATGTCGGGAAGGCCCAGCACCAGGCCCCCCGTCCTGCCCTGTGTGCTCCCAACAGCAGGAATGTCGGGAATGTGTCACTTCTCCCTCTGAAGTCTGTTCTTCTCCAGGCCGGTCCTTTGACTACTTTTGCCCCTGGGACAGAAGTTAGTTTTGTTGACAGTAGGGCAGGGCAGGCTGGCCCTCACGTGTCTGAGTTCTGAGGTGAACCCCCGAGAGGGATCTCTGAGGTGGAGAGGGCTTCTGTGACCATCCTGCCCCGTGCAGGGAGGAAGGCCTTGTGGAACCAGGGCCAGCGTCAAGAGAGCGGTGGGTGTTTGAAGGAAGACCTTCGCCGGGGACTCCGCATGGTCCCTGCCGTGTGCTGGGCGGCCCGGCTCACGGGGAGAAGCAGCGTCGCGGCCTTCGGTGCCCCAGCCGGCGTTCCCGGTCTGTGTGTGTTGGTCAGCGGCTTCCAGGGCCAGGAGTCAGAGAGGCCCATGGGTGAGCAGCTCGTGGTGTCTACATGTGGATGCTGTTTGCTCAGGGGACAGTCACAGACTTGTCATTAGTTTACTCTCACCTCACGCAGTTGGCCGGCACTGATTCCCTGCGGGGCCGCGTGTCCAGGGACAGAGGGCTGACTCCCCGGCCCGAAGGGCCCCGTATCTAGCGGTGAGACGCAGCAACGAGAGTGTGGTGTTCGGCGCCCTCCTTGCAGAGACAGGGACGTGCGGCGTCTTCCGAGGAGCGCATCTTTCCCTTCACATGGCTGGCAGGTCATGGCGTCAGGGCCTGGTCTCCCTGTTCGCCTTCCCTACAGATCCCCTTGGCTCCAGCTGGCTTCTCTGGGCCGTGATGTGACTCCAGCCCTCGCCCCCTCCCCCCACCAGTGCTCCTGTGTGCAGGGCGGCAGCGTCACTGCGGCAGTGGCTGGAGCCACACGTGGCCAGGAAGACGCACCTGCAGCCAGAACTGTCCCCTGGCCCCCGGGCACTGAGAGGTGACGGCTGTAGGCTGGGGACTGTGGGCGCGGCAGGGTTATTCTCTGCGCAGCTCATCCGGAGGTGTCTGTGTGTGGTGCAGTGAAGCATTGCAAATAGGAACATCTGTGCAGGCCTCCTGTTGATAGGAAGGTGCGTGTGTGCAGACAGTCTGCGCTTTGCCCAGATCTGTGTGGCCACCTGGCGTCGCCTCAGTCTGCTGCCCACAGAGTTTTTCCACTTCTCCTCTGACTGTCTCCTCTTGACCTGGTCCTGCATGCCGTCAGCTTCCTCAGAGGAAAAGCAGGGAGGAACCCTAGTTCGTTCATGTCCGCAAAGCCCAGCGCGATGCCTCAGCTGGACCTGGATTTCCACGGCCGGTCGAAGGCTCAGGTCCCCGTGAGTCTGGTCTCCCTCCCCGGTGACCGCTCTCTCCATCCCGTCTCAGCATCTGTTGCTGTCTCGTCCATTTGGCATGGATCACCACCTGACTCCTTCTGTTAGTTCCCTCTTCATGACATGCCCAAGTTCCTCAGTTCATTAGCGGGGTCTTTGTACACAGGTGTTGCTATTCTAGACAGGCCAGCAGGCACTCGGTACATATTTGATTGTTCAGATATTTTTATTGCTTGTTTTTTACTAATTTATGAAACTGGAAGGGGCAGGGTCATGTGGCAGACACATGGCCCTGGTGGGGGACACGCCCCTGTGCTCTGTGTAAAGAGGTTCCTGGAGCCCCGTGTGTGCACGGACCACCCACCCAGTCCATCTTCCTCGGTGTCCCCTGGAGGAACATTGTACCTGTCAGTAGTTAGGGCCCGAGCTGGAACTGGGGCTTATTTCTGTTAGGCGTGTTCCAGGTCAGCTACATCAGCATTTGTTCTAGGTCCTGAAGATACCGAGGGGATGGAGGCGTCGTGTGGGGGCTTCCCGAGCCCACTGCCACTCTGCTGTGCTTGGGGCCGGCTGGAGAGGGAGGCCAGAGGGGGTGTGTTCTGAAAGGGAGCCTCCGACCCCAGCTCACCCAGCCTCAGAGGTGGAACATTGCTAAACGTTTTTTCATTGTTCTTTTCAAGTATCCATGTCTTTCTCCTCCTGGGCAGGCCAGGTGACCGAGGATGGCTGTTAGTGTTTCCGCTGCTGCCTTGTTCGTGCTGGTTGAAATCGACACCAGCAGGGAAAGCTCACGTGTCCGCGTATCTGCACGGGGACATCAAGGCCCATGCAGGGGACTGGCTCGGTCATTTGTTCATTGCGCCGGGGATGTGGGCTCGCTGTGTGCGGTCCGTGCTCCTGCAGAGGGGCTGTTGTGTGTCTGCACACTGACCCAGAAAAGACCCAAACACAGTTTGTTGCCTTGGTCATGCTGGATGGAATCAGTCTGCATTTCTTCTCTGCACTGTGCCTGTCGGCTGACGGCGTTATTGGCCGTTGCTGATAATGCTTCGTCCTTGCACAAAGCGTCTTCCTGGCAGGACAGTTCTGATGTGGGAAGGCTTCCCTCTGGGAGTCCAGAGAGGCCTGGCACAGGCTGCACCCACAGCAGCTGCCTGGCCAGACCTGAGTGCTGGAGGCGGCACCAGGGTCCAGAGCGGAGAGGTGGCCGTTAACCTGTTGACTTGGTTACACTTCCTGAGCGAGGTGCCGATGGAGCCGCCCTGACCCACCTCATTCTGCCCCCATGGTTTCTTCCTCCCCATGACTCAGAGGAGCAGGTGTTCTTACCACCTTGAACTGTTTTTGGCTTTAATTGTGTTATTTGAACAGTAAGCCTTGTTCCCTTTGCAGATTGATAGACTCGCCTTCCTTTCCGTTATTACGTGTCTTTGACAAATGCGCCAGCTCTGTGAGAACCAGGTGTCAGATTCCGCTGAGATCATTGAGACCAGGCCGTTTGTCAGTGCCCTCGGGTCTGTGTGCCTCCCTGCAGCGCGTTCATTTAGCTGCGTGGTCCACAGAGATCCTCCTGGAAAAGGATGTTCTGCATCATTACCCTGCTCTATACGTGGTATAGCCCTGGCCAGGTGGGTCAGTAGGTTGGAGCGTCGTCTCGTGCACCAGAATGTGGTGGGTTTGATTCCTGGTCAGGGCACATACCCAGGTTGTGGATTCAATCCCCAGTGGGGTGTGTACAGGAGCAACCGATTGATGTTTTTCTACACCCCCGCCCCCGTCTCTGAAATCAGTTTTATAAAAAGTGTTAACAGTGGTACTAAGACTTGAGATTGAATGAGTTAATGAATTCCCAAATCTGCTTCAAAATTATCTTAAACCGAGAGCTGATAAGCCAGAGGAGAATTCCTCCTCTTTAGAAGATCTGTGGAGAGGAGATCACTTTGTCCTTTGTCAACATTCTTTATGTTGCTCTGCAAGCCACCCTGTGGCCAGCCCGTGGCCTTCTACACGCAGTGGCCTGGTCACTGCAGGTGGGGACAGGGAGCGTCAATGTCAGTAATCTCAGTGAGAGGAAGTGTTTGGGTTGAATGACGCCATGAACAGATGTATGTCAAGGGTTAAGATCCTGAGTGAGGGAAACTAAAATCTCATAAACATGGGAAAAGTGAAAGAAAAAGTTTTGTATGTAATTAGGATCTAAGAGAACCTCAGCTCTGTGACCCTCATGAAAGCTCTGATTGGGTGGTTTTTCATGGTGAGCCTCTAATCAGCTTACTGAGTGATGAAGCAAACGGACGCATCTTCTTCCCTCCTCCTCCTCAACACGAGTGATGATTTAAAGTCACTGCCAGACCTGGGTGCTGCTCGTTTCTCAAGTGCTAGCTGTTTTGTTCTGATGTAGTCTGCTTTGGAGACTTTTCTCAGCATATACTTTTCCTCCGACTTTTTAATTTTTAAGACCTCAGGAAAAGAACACTCATGTAACCTTCACTTAGAATCAACAACTGTTCACATGTTGCCAATTTTCTCAACTTGTGTTTTTCTTCCTGTCTCCCTTTTCTATCCATCCATCCATCCATCCATGTTTCTCTGATAAACAAGGGTATTTTTCTGTATAATTAGAATGTCATTATTACATCTAAGAAAAGACACATGAACTCAGTCTTACTTATAGACTACGTTTATTTTTCCTTATTTCCATATTTTTAGGGCTACGTTTTTTTCCCAGTCCGGGACTCAGTCAGGGTCATTGCATTTGGTCGTCGCACCTCGTTGGTCTCTTGACCTGTAGCCTTGTCCCTCTGCCGTGTTCGCAGGCCTTGACTTTCTTTCGGGAGAACCCAGGTCAGTCGCATGTAGACGGCCTCGCGTTCTGACTCGCCCAGTGTGGGGAAGCACTAGCGGTGTCGTCCTCAGTGCTCCGGGGCACATCTTGTCGGGGTGTCCTGCTGTTACTGATGCCGAGTTGGGTGAAGATTGTGATACTTACGTGTCCACTGTAAGACTGTTATCAGAGGGGAGCTCTGCTTGTCCCCACTGATTGCTGGCGGGAGTGGGCTTCTTGCAGTGACCCCCAAAAATAGTTCTCTGAGACTCACACAGGAGGATGAGTGGCATTTATTTGCGTGGAGTTAAGTACCTGAGTGTCCAAGGTCCCATTTCCCTCTGTCCCGCCGTAGAACTGTGGCCGTGTCTTCAGCAGGGCGACAATGAAAGCTGTGTCCACTGTCCATTCCCTGCCTGCACAGTCCAGTCCAGCACCAGGCTGGCCTAGTTCGCTTTCGCACCTGCAGTCCATCAGTCCCTCGCGTGTGGGCTCCACAGGGCGCGTGGCTATGGAGGGAACAGGGGCAGATGCAAGAGCCACAGGACCCAGAGCCAAGAGTGCCTGCCGCGTGCCAAGGGAGCAGACTCCTTTTTCTAGGGGATTATGTTCCCAGATTTTCACAGGCATAGCCAGTGATTCTGTTCCCAGGTTTGACTGACAGGCACCTTCCCTCCGTCACCCCGACCTCACTGGGCACGTGCCCATCTCCCCTTTGTCGAGTCCCTTCCCACAGTGATCTGTAGGGAATGGGCTGTTTCCCCGGGGAGGGGGAGATTGCAGCTTCCTGGTGAAGCTGCCCAAACGACATGCCTGTATGCCTGACCTGACATTTCCCTGTGTGTGATGAACAGTTCATCTGTGGGCTGATAGCTTTACACCACATACGTCCGGTCTCCAGCACGCTTCACCCAGCGAGCTGAGCATCTGACGATGATCTTGTTACAGTGTGGGTTCCGGAATGATCGACTTTCTCACTCTCGTGGTTTTCCACATTTTGCAGGTAGCGGTGACTGTAAGAGATACATTACCTCCTTCCTTTCTCCCACTTGGCAGTTGTTTAGAGACCTATGCTCTGTTTTCAGTCAGCGTGTTATCTGTTATCATTTTTATCTCTGGGTTCAAATTTCCCTAAATTTGGCCAGCTGGAGCCCCGTTAGGTCCTGTGTCCTTCGTGTTGCCTGCGACAGTCACTGGTTACTTCCTTGCTTTCTGGAACAACCTTAAACTTTCTTTGTTTCAGCCCAGAATCAGCCGTTTCTCCAAGGAGCCCTGGGTTCCCGTCACGGTGAGTGTTATCCGGAAGCCAGGCCCTTGCCCTGAGATGCTAACTGCATGCGTCTTCTTGCTTGCGTTTGGGCAGATACAGTACCAACGAAGGGGAGACCTGGAAGACGTTCACCTTCTCCCCGAAGCCCGTGTTTGTGTACGGGCTCCTCACAGAACCGGGCGAGAAGAGCACGGTGTTCACCATCTTTGGCTCCGACAAAGAGAACGTGCACAGCTGGCTGATCCTCCAGGTCAATGCCACAGACGCCCTAGGTAAGTGGCTGCCTCCTCAGCCCTGTTCATGGAAATGTTTATTGGCCAGAGCAGCATCAGTGTGGATACTGTGTATCCAGAAGAGTTTGTAGCCATTGAATGAGGTGTGTGAATGAGCAATATATGGGCTGTTACTTAGGCGATTCTTAATAACACTACGTGCTAATGAATAAAAAACATTATTTGAAACGAGCAGTTTGACAGACTTTCCCAGTAACAACTGTGTGACAGGCAGTGGGCCCGGTGACAGGGCTGCTCCAAGCTGTCTGGGGTCTCATCACGATCGCCAGTCTGGGCAAAGGACATGCAAATAAGTCAAGACGAGTGGAATGCGTTCCTTCCCTGCCCCCTTCCCTTTGCTCCTCCTCTGCCTTGGCCGACATTATTCCAGCCGCATAGAATGCCCCATGCTGCCCGTTTAGTTCCCACCAGCTGAAATTCTTGACTGTTTTAGGGTCCAAGGTGCTTGGCGGCCGATGTGCCAACCGGAAGACTTCTCCCCTCCTCTCTAAGTCTGTAGTGTTAGCATACTCGTCTGCCTGGAATGATCTGTCCTCTGTGTGTGTCTTTCCCATCAGCTAGACTATAACGTCCCTAGAAATAAGAATGTGTCCTCTGCATATTCATTTTTCATGAACTGTACAGAATGATAGCCTTCCAGGCAGTAGCGGTGTAATAAGTACTTGCCGATTCGAATGGCGTTGAGTGGGCAGTTCTTCATCATGTTCAGGTAGCATTGAATCTGACCACATATAAAAAAGACACACATATAAAAAAGACACACATATAAAAAAGACAAAGTACCAACATGGACATAGGTTTGCTGTGGAATTCCTGCGGAACCTACTCTCCTTAAATGTTGAGCGAATGCATGCAGATTGCGTGATCGTCCGGGTTGTCTTATCTCTCGGCCTTCCTTGGAGACCCCGTGCCGACAGCAGCGACAGGACACCCTGGCTCGCGTCCTGGCCGTGACCCAGACGCGCTCACACCGCCCCGGGCAGCGGGCAGGGCTCCGTGCCATTCCCTAGCTTCCTAGGAGATAAACCCCTCTGGGTACCTGTCTCTAAAGGGACTGTAGGATGTGCTAAAATGTACCAGGAATTTAGCTCGTGGCCAGGGATCCAAGATGGAGGTAGAGCAGGCGGCAGCTCCCTCACCTCCCAGGACCACAACGAAGTGATAGAACACTCGCCCTGAATAACCAGCTGAAGACCAGCTGAGGAGAAGTCTCATGACCGAGGGTTTCCCGAAGAAGCCATGTCGGGGCTGGTAGGAGGGGCGGAGACAGAAATGAGCTGGCCCCTCACCCACGTGTGTCAGCTGAGATTCTGGAGGGAGATCGCAGCTGCAGAGGTCTCCCCGAGGAGCGAGGGTCTCCCCCGTGCTGGGCTCCCAGCCTCGAATACTGGTGCTGGGAAGAGGAGCCCATATAACATCCAGCTGTGAAAACCAGCGGGTATTCTGTCTGTCCAGGTGAGGTGGGAGTCGGCTAGAAACCCAGGTGTTCTCTTAAAGGACCAGCACCCAAATCTCATTCACAGGCACTTACCCTGGGCTCCTGCTGAGGGACAGCAGCTCAGAGCGCACTGGAGTCATACAGGGAGAGATTGGGTTGTGTGGCTTTGGGAAGAGGGCTCGGGGGACAGCTGCCAGCATCCTGGTGCCGAGTCCCTCTCCCACACGGCCCACAGACCCCATCTGTCCTGGGGGGAGCACAGCACTCCCCTCTCTACAGCATCGGCCTGGGGAGATGCATTAGCCCCTCGCCCCTGACTTCCTGTGGCCCCGCACTGCCCAGCTTGTGCCCTGCAGAACCAGCTGGCTCTGGCCAGCCGGGCTCCCTGCAGGCTCTTCTGGAAGGTCCCTAGGAGGTCCAGGTGGAGTCAGGGGCTGTCGCAGACACAGGGAGAGGCGAGTGGAGTGGCCTTAAGGTGAGGGGCGTTTTCTCTGCGTGCCTGACCAGCGCCCTCCCCAGCATCGACCTGGGGAGATGCACCGGCCCCACCCCCCTGGCTCCTTGTGTCCTGTCCTGGGAGCTCACACCCTGCAGAGCGTGTGACTGGAGGCGCTCGAGTGCATGGGCAGCAGGGCGGATGTGCTGGGGAGACACGGGGAGAGCCCAAGCGGTGAGGCTTCCGATGAGGCCGTTTCCCGTGTGCCTGGCCAGCGCCACTGTTCCTGTGCAGAGCCCGCCTTCTACACAGGCAAATCTTAACCTGTTGTAACCTAACGAACTCTGCTGGCCTCACCCTGCCGACTCCCTGAGACCCTGCCCCTCCACAGAGGTCCTCGGCCCAGGCGGGTGGCGGCTGGCCTTGGTGATCCGGGCACTTGGGCTGAGTGGCCTCAGACCCAGCACTGGTGCTGAGTTTGAACCTTGTTAACCTGGAGGACACCACTCACCCTCTCCGGGACCCCCTGAGAAACTGCCTCCTGCAAGGTGCCTGGGCCCAGAGGGCAGCTGCAGGGGTCGCTGGGGGTGGTGGTGCGTCTCACAGAGCTGTGGGCCTTTGCTGACCTGCCCTGGGCTCCGTGATGGTGGAAGCAGCCTCAGTGTGCAGCGTGGCCTCCCACGCACACCCTGGCTCAGCAGGGGCAGCGCCAGCGTGGGCCCGTCTGCAGCTCCTGACAGGTGGCCCAGGGCCCTCACAGGCAGTGTTGCACCCGGCATCCGCCTGCCCGGGAGCCCTGCCGAGGCTCCAGCACCCACACCCCCGCTGTGGGTTCAGACCACCTGCACGGGAGCCCTCCCCGAGGCTCCAGCACCCACACCCCCACTGCGGGTTCAGACCACCTGCACCGGAGCCCTCCCCGAGGCTCCAGCACCCACACCCCCGCTGCGGTTCAGACCACCTGCATGGGAGCCCTCCCCGAGGCTCCAGCACCCACACCCCCGCTGCGGTTCAGACCACCTGCATGGGAGCCCTCCCCGAGGCTCCAGCACCCACACCCCCACTGCGGGTTCAGACCACCTGCACCGGAGCCCTCCCCGAGGCTCCAGCACCCACACACCCGCTGCGGTTCAGACCACCTGCATGGGAGCCCTCCCCGAGGCTCCAGCACCCACACACCCGCTGCGGTTCAGACCACCTGCACGGGAGCCCTCCCCGAGGCTCCAGCACCCACACACCCGCTGCGGTTCAGACCACCTGCATGGGAGCCCTCCCCGAGGCTCCAGCACCCACACCCCCGCTGCGGTTCAGACCACCTGCACGGGAGCCCTCCCCGAGGCTCCAGCACCCACACACCCGCTGCGGTTCAGACCACCTGCACTAGAGCCCTCCCCGAGGCTCCAGCACCCACACCCCCGCTGCAGTTCAGACCACCTGCACCGGAGCCCTCCCCGAGGCTCCAGCACCCACACACCCGCTGCGGGTTCAGACCACCTGCACGGGAGCCCTCCCCGAGGCTCCAGCACCCACACACCCGCTGCGGTTCAGACCACCTGCACTAGAGCCCTCCCCGAGGCTTCAGCACCCACACACCCGCTGCGGTTCAGACCACCTGCACTAGAGCCCTCCCCGAGGCTCCAGCACCCACACACCCGCTGCGGTTCAGACCACCTGCACGGGAGCCCTCCCCGAGGCTCCAGCACCCACACACCCGCTGTGGTTCAGACCACCTGCACTAGAGCCCTCCCTGAGGCTCCAGCACCCACACACCCGCTGCGGTTCAGACCACCTGTACCGGAGCCCTCCCCGAGGCTCCAGCACCCACACACCCGCTGCGGTTCAGACCACCTGCACTAGAGCCCTCCCTGAGGCTCCAGCACCCACACACCCGCTGCGGTTCAGACCACCTGCACGGGAGCCCTCCCCGAGGCTCCAGCACCCACACCCCCGCTGCGGTTCAGACCACCTGTACCGGAGCCCTCCCCGAGGCTCCAGCACCCACACACCCGCTGCGGTTCAGACCACCTGCACTAGAGCCCTCCCTGAGGCTCCAGCACCCACACACCCGCTTCGGTTCAGACCACCTGCACGGGAGCCCTCCCCGAGGCTCCAGCACCCACACACCCACTGCGGGTTCAGACCACCTGCACGGGAGCCCTCCCCGAGGCTCCAGCACTCACACACCCGCTGCGGTTCAGACCACCTGCACTAGAGCCCTCCCCGAGGCTCCAGCACCCACACACCCGCTGCGGTTCAGACCACCTGCACGGGAGCCCTCCCCGAGGCTCCAGCACCCACACACCCGCTGCGGTTCAGACCACCTGCACTAGAGCCCTCCCTGAGGCTCCAGCACCCACACCCCCGCTGCGGTTCAGACCACCTGTACTGGAGCCCTCCCCGAGGCTCCAGCACCCACACACCCGCTGCGGTTCAGACCACCTGCATGGGAGCCCTCCCTGAGGCTCCAGCACCCACACCCCCGCTGCGGTTCAGACCACCTTGGAGCATGATCCTCAGTCAGGCAGCCTAAGGTCGGCTCTGCCCACGGACAGGCCAACAGCAGTCAAGACTGAACCTGCCAGGAGGGCTCACATAACCCACATAGGAAAACTCCTGGACCACCCACTCGGTGCCCAGGCAGACTGCGCACCTGAGCCCCAGGACACCCGCTGCGTAAGGCACTGACCAACACGGGGAGCATAGCAGCTCCACCTGACACAGAACAAACATGGGGCAGCCAGATGGGGAGACAGACATGCCCCACCTGAAGGGACAGGAGAAAGAACAGGAGAAAAAGGACTGAATGAAACGGAGGCCGACAGTGTACCAGTACAGGGTTCAAGGCCCGGCTGTGAGGATGCTCAGGCACTCGGGGCGGACGGATGGGCTCGGCGGGCACTTAGACAGTGAGCATAAAGGGCCCCAGGAGCCATGGTCGAGAACCAGTCAGAGAGGCCAAAGGCGGCTTCTTCCTTCCCGCGTTCTCGGGACCATCTGTGCTCCAGGGTTCACCTGTGTGGTGTCACCCAGTCTGGCAGCAAGCCGACTGGGGGCTAGGGACAGCACCAGGTGGTGGGGCAGGCGCCCCGCAAGCCCGTGTCTCACGCTGTGTTCCTTCCCCAGGGGTCCCCTGCACAGAGAACGACTACAAGCTGTGGTCACCCTCTGACGAGAGGGGCAACGAGTGTTTGCTGGGACACAAGACTGTCTTCAAGCGGAGGACGCCGCACGCCACGTGCTTCCACGGAGAAGACTTCGACAGGCCCGTGGCCGTGTCCAACTGCTCCTGCACCCGCGAGGACTACGAATGGTTGGTCCCTCACTGGCGCCCGAGCGGAGCTGTGCTCTGTTCTCAGCAGGGTGGGGAACCGCTAGGGTCTGGTCCCGTTCCCTGCCGGAAGGAAGGGAGGCCTAGGAAACATGTAGGAAGCACCTTGTGTGTGTCAGGAAGTGTGCTGGGCACGTCTCGTGTAGGTGATTCCGCTCCGTTTCAACAGCCTGGTGATGGGGAAGGTGTTACTGCCTGGGAGCTGGGTGACTTATTCAGCAACAGGTTGCTCGGGTGCATTTCTGTGCTGGCCACCCGGACGGAGCACACAGAAGGTTCTCCGGTAGGTGATTCCGTTTCTTAGGAGCCCTGTTCTGGAGGGAATTTATTTTCTTATTTGAAACAAGGGAATATTGGTGTGTGCACACACACGCGCACGTACACACACACACACACACACACACACACACTTGCATTCATTAGTACCAGAATATGCAAGGCACCGGCGAGGACACCAAGAGCAGGAGTGGCAAGCGCACAGGTGACCGTGTCGGGATGGAAAGCCGCAGGTGCCTCGGAGGACGTACTTGCGTGGTGACTGTAGACCGGCAGGAGGAGGGCTTGCGGCTGTGGAACTGAGGACTTTCTGGAGAAGGCGCTGTGTGTGCTGAGCCGCGAGGAGCATCAGGGAAGAGGCAGCAGCAGCGTGCAGGCAGGGAAGTAGCTGGTGCTGTCGCTTGGATGCCCTGATGGCTGTGTGGGGTCAGTGAGGGGATGAGGCTGAAAAGAGAGACCTTATTCTGTAGCAGGAGGGTGTCTGACGTCCTCTGAGGGAGTTGGGGTCGGAACAGGGCTTAGCTTTGGGAAGATGACTAGCAGCTGAGCTCCTGGGGTCCGGGAGCCCGGGGCAGGCCTTCGGGCCGGGAACCCTGCCAGGCTGCGCCCCATGCGGCGGGCTGCAGGGAGCGCAGGTGCGGAACGTGGACGCGCACCTCATTCTCCAGCAGTCGCTGCAGCACAGAGAGACCAGTTTGCGTTGGGAAGCACGCTTACCTTGGCTGGAGCCAGAACCCTGAGCGTTCTGGTCCGGAGGTTGGAACAGGCCCATCCAGTGACTGTTTGGGGTGTTGGCCGCAGTACGTTTTATTTGCTGAAACAGCTGACCAGGTTGGGCCAGCTCCTGTCCCAGACCAGCGCTTCTCAGATGGAATGTGCTCATGAGGCACCTGGGATCTTGTTAAACCGCGGGTTCTGACTCAGCAGTTGTGGGAACCTGCAGCTTGGCCGGCGGTGGGTGATTCCCATGCTGCTTACCTGCACGCCCCCCCTTTGAGTGGCAGGCTGGGCACTCCCGGTGAAAGCTGTGTGGGCCCGAGATGATAGCCTAGGCGCTTCCCTGGCGAAGCCTGTCGATGCTGCCAGCGCCTTCGGTCGGTGCCCTCTGCCGCCTCTGCTGTTAAAGGCTCCACGCTGAGTGCTGCTGCTGGTCTGACTATAGGGGCCTCATCGTGGAGGAGACTATGGCGCCCCCTGTCTTATCCCATTAAGTACCTCAAAATAAAAAAAAAAATCTAGCAATCTTTGATACTTTTCTTTGATGACCACTGTCATGCCTTTCCCCTAAAATCTGCCTCCCAGCAGCAGCAACAGAAAGGACCCGGGGGCTGGCGGACCTTCCTGACACCTTGGCCTGGCTCTCGGGTCCACATGCCACCCCCTGACCTGTGGAAACCCGGGGTCAGTCTTTATGACAGACCAGGAAAGCCACCTTCCCTGCCCCTCATGGAGCTGAGCTTCGGGCCAAGTAAGAGTGTGAGGTGCTCCTTCCTCTCTCTCTAAAATCAATATAGAAAAAATATTTTTAAAAAATGCAAAAAATTGTTATCAAACTATTATCAACTCTTTTATGTCTGCATTTCTCCCTATGGTCAAGTAGTGCGGCTTTCAAGCTCTTGACCACAGCTGAGGCCCTGAGCCTGCACGCTTTGGTACGTGTAGACGCACACGAGCAAAGCAGGTTCTGCGAGATGACGTTTGCTGTGGACTGGGATGCACTTTGTAGGCGTCTGTGGTTTGGGGAGCTGGGGAAGAAGCTGGTCTTCACCCTCCGACGTCCCTTTGCTACCTGCTAGGTCGTGACCTGTAATTTGAAGACACCTGCCTGAAAACGGTGCTCTGCACTGGGGGCGAAGCAGGGATTAGCTAACACCGCAGTCCCCCAAAGGTTTAAAGCAGCCATTCAGTAAAAATCATCTGACTTAATGAATAAGACCTGTGGGACACAGTAATAAAACTTTCTGAGTGATTCTGTACAGAGTGTTCAAGTGGATCGTGACATGATGTACACAGACCAGTCTTCCCTGCACCTGTGTTGTCATGTAGTATGTGTTTAATAACTGTGTGTTGAACCAAACAATAAGTGGAGCCTTTTGGGGAGAGCACATGAGCTGGACAATTCCTCTGAATTGCAGGTTCATGGTTTGCGGGGCCTTGGTCCCTATGCAGCAAAGCTGCCTCAGGGTGTTCAGGCAGCTGAGAGAACTCAGGTAGTTAAGGGGGAGCCAAAATGACACCGAGGACCCTGCTCCTTGAGCTGTGTGGTTGGGCAGAGATGTGGCCCCAAATTGCAGGTCTTGAGGACTGAAGCACTGTGCCCTAAAGGGGACAGAATGAGGCACCAAGGTGGGTTTAGGTAGTAGGTGGACATGGTCTTAGATAACATTGGTTATACAAACAACATCCTTGGTTCAAAACAAGGGATCCTTCTTTTTAATTTCTCTTTTAAGTCTTCCAGTCATGTCGAGGAGAAAGTCTCGTTAAAGGCTAGTAATTATTTAACATTTGCTAACCCTTTTTTAACAAAGAGAGGGCAGGCCTAGAGTCTTTGGGGGAACTGGATCTAGCTAAAAATTTTAATATTATTTTATCTTTAGCATAATGATTTGGATTATTTTTGTTTATTTAAAGTTGTGGTTCTGATATAAGGTATCTTTTGGAAATGTATTAGTGTAAAACCTGAGTTGTCTGTAAGGGGACATGTAAGTGCCCTGTCGTACGGGCAGCAGCGGCCTGTAGAGCTCACAGGGTGGGCACTGAAATGCCCAGAGCATGCAGGTGAACCGTGGCCCTAACAAACCCTCATTGCCTTTCAGTGACTTCGGCTTCAAGATGAGTGAAGATCTGTTCTTAGAGGTGTGTGTTCCTGACCCGGAGTTTTCTGGGAAGCCGTTTCCCCCTCCTGTGCCTTGTCCCGTGGGCTCTACATACAGGAAAACAAGAGGGTACGTCTCCCGAAGGCCCACGTCAGCGCCACGGGGCTCTGCACTGGGCATGAGAGGGCACAGGGCCCGTGGGTACCTTTCACACTCTAAATGTAGACTTCTAAGTAAGCAGGTTCAAGTAGCTCGGGAAATATTTAAAGTGATGGTTTTGCAAATTCTTCCACCCTCTGTGAGAAAAAGGGGGTCTGAGTTTCTCTACAACTCCAATTGTATCTTAAGTCATAAATTTCAGCAAGGACACTCCTTGAGAGGAGTTGGTGGAGGAAATGTATGGAAAACTCCCACCCAGGCCTGCAGTGCCGTCTGCCGAGCTGTGTAACCCGTTACAGGCAGGCGGGATTGGGGATGAGCCAGCAGCCTCCTTCCTGGTCGGGGAAGGGAGCTGATGCGCCCTGCGGTCCGTGGGGAGGAAACGTGTTCCCAGCTACAAAGCCTACGACTGTGCTGCCATGTTTCTCACCTCTTACTCTTGGGGTGGCGGGGGACAGCTACCGGAAGATTTCTGGGGACACCTGTCGTGGAGGAGATGTGGAAGCGCGACTGGAGGGCGAGTTGGTCCCGTGCCCCTTGGCAGGTAACAGTGTTTCTTGCCTCTGACTTCTTGAGCCGGCACTGAGACGTGATGAGCTCCTAGGTTCGCTCTTCTGCCTCTTCTCACCTAGAGGAGGAAAAGAGTGGAAGTTCAAGCGTCGCAAAGCTCTCCAAACTTGGATCCAAACTATATTTTTTTGTAATGTTATGACTTTACAGGGAGGAAAAGTATTTTTTGAAAGAAATCCCCTTTGTTCACGGAAAAACGTTTCCTCCGCATTTGTTGTGTTCTGGGCGCGGCGGAGTGTGCGCTCCTTGATCTGTTTTTCCGAGCTGACTGTGAAGAGACTCATGGGTTTTGGGGAAGTAGCTAGTGGTTTAATTTTTATGATAATAATTCTAAATACTATTGTAATAGAATTTTACACATTTCAATGTACTTTCCCACATGTTGTCATTTTAATTCCCAAAATAGATGTTATTAGCTCCATTTTTTTTTTTTTTTTACTATGAGGAAACATGTTCAGAGGAGAGGGTTAAATGACTTTTTTAAGGTCACACATCTGGTAAATGACAGAAGTCATGTCACACCCTAAGCCAAGCCCTCACCTGGCATTGCCGGCGTGGCAAATACATGCTGTTCCCATTAGCTTAGATGCTCATCTTGTTAACTAAGGAAACGTTGGGCCGTGTGCCGTACGTGTGTCCCAAACTTGTTTCAAGTTGCCTTAGTGGGGATGGCAGCTGTCGAGGTATTTGTGACAGACACGTGTGAAATCATGTCCCTTCACAGAGTCGGTCTCTCAGCGTCTTTCCTTCACTGTCTCTAGCTCCTGTTCCCGTGCAGCTTCCTTGTCCGCCCGAGCCCTTCCTCCTGCTCATGCCTGTGCGTGCAGGTGAAGGGTGGGGCTGCCGTCCCTCCGCAGCGCTGGGGCCTGTGTGCGAGAGGGTGCCCGTCCTCTGCCGGCAGAGTGGCCCGCGTGAGCGCGCTGCTCGCCCCTGCCCTGCTCTCGCTGAGCTCCTCAGTCCCTTCATTTCGTTTTCCGTCATCACCAGAGTAATTAGCATACCTGCTGCGGAGACTCGAGAAGAACACGGCTGCAGAGCATCTCTCAGACGAGCGGGTGATGCTCAGATGTTCTCAGCAGCTGCTGTTGGTGTGGGCTGGGCAGGCTGGGGTGATGGCGCTCGGAACTGGAGCGATGTTTTGTGACACATATTTCTGAAGATGACGTAGCACGGGGCACAGCAGCTTGTTCAGAGCCATCTGTGCTGTTAGGAGAGCTGTTTTCTGATAGAGGAGGGGACAGAACAGGACACAGAGTGGACACATCCTGCTTGTAGGATGGGTCATCTCCTAAATGCTTTTGCTTTTTTAAACATGTGGAGCTGGAGGCAGGGATGTCCCAAGAAAGGAAAATACCACAGGACTGGGGAAAACCACGTCTTCACAGAGATGACGTCATCTACGCATCTGGAAGGACTTTTATAAAGTAGTGTTTTTTTTTTCCTTTATAATTACACACATTTCTGCACTGTGCCCGTGTGGCTGGGATGTCCCAAGAGTGCTGCTCCTTTTCTGAGTTAAGTTTTACACATGCTTCTTTTCTCGGGGCCTGACCCGCAGGCGTGTTTGGACTCAGGCTCCACCGTGGAGGCAACAGTTAGAAGGAAAAAACCAAGCAACAGCGTGAGGTTTATAGATGTTGCCGGGAGACTTGGGGTCCAAGCCCTGCTGCTGTGAATGTGTTCTCCACAACTGGAAGCGTCCGGGAGTCCTTGACCTTGACCTTCCTTCCGAGCTCGGCAGTCTCTGGGAATCACAGTGGGAAGGTTTTCTTGAAATCAACAAGGAGAATGAGTCATGTGGCAGCTTAGACACTTTTTGAAGCGCAGTGAGACCAGAGGAAAAGAAGGCGCACTTCCCCTGTTCAGGTTGTAGATGGATTTATTTTTCGGTGCGTTGTCTGTATTGAAGCTTTATAAAGCCGGTGGCTAGTACATGTTAGCTCACTGCGTGGCTGAATGGGGAGGGGCCGCCGTAACTGTGCAGACGCTCGCTCAGGGTTCCGGTCGGCGTCTGGCCCGCCTGCAGCCCGCTGTCCTCTGGATGCCAGTGTGCTGCCGTCTCCATTCCCGCGAAGGAGCTGGGTGTTTGCCGGCCTGTTCCCGAGTGGAAGACAGCACTGGCTCTCCTGGTGACTTATCTGGCATGAAGTACGTCTCTTTAGGGATTCTGGGCTCTTTTCTATGACTTAAAAAATGGCAACATTAGTATCTAGTCACAGAGACAGCACTGTGCAGTGGTAAAAATGTAGACTAAGCGTCCAGACTATCTGGGTTCAAGACTAGTTGTGTGGCCTTCAGTGAGTCACTTAGCCTCTCTGCTCTTAGTTTTCTTATTTGCAAAACTGTCTTAATAGTACTTCTTTTGCCCTGGCTGGTTTGGCTCAGTGGTAGAGCGTTGGCCTGTGGACCAGTGAGTCGCGGGTTTGATTCTGGTCAAGGGTACATACCTTGGTTGCGGTTTGTTCCCGGCCCTGGTCGGGTTGTGCGGGAGGCAGCCAGTCGATGTGGCTCTATCACATCGATGTTTCTCTCTGTCTCTCTCCCTTCCACTCTATCTGATAATAAGTAGAAAAATATCCTCAGGTGAGGAATAAAAAAAAAGCCAGTAGTTCTTTCATTGTACAGTTGCTGTGTGGATTAGACAGTGCCTGGTACGTAGTATTATGTTGTATATAACGTATTTGTTAAGTAGCACTAGAGACTTTGTGATAATTACATTGTGAACATTGTGTCAGTAGTCAAGATCAAATGCATTGTGATTGTTGTAATATATAATTGGTTGACACAATTGCCTGACGACATTGTGAACAGTATTTCACAGGAGAGCAAACTGATTAGAAAAGGTAGCTGTCAGTCTCAGCAGCTCGTGGCCTGTGGCCCACAAGACACGGTGACCTGGACAGTCTGCTGACGAGGCCACGTGCTGACCGGGTCATTCTTTTGTCAGGTGTGATTAACGCCTCCGAACTTGGGTGTTGGAGCATGCCCACTGGGAGATCTAGATTAAAAAAAGAAAAGTAGCGAGTAATACACTTTGTGGATGAGGAAATGTGTTTACGATTCACGGGCCAGACGTGTGGTTGTTTCACCGTCTGAGTCGATGCCTGTGCTTTCTGGGCCCACACCTGCCAGCAGCTTGTAGGGTTGTGTGTGAGAGAAGGTCAGACTGCTGAGACCACAGCGCATCCCCGGGCTCACCCTTCCTGTTGTTCTGTGCAGAGGAGAATGAGTTCATCCTCTACGCCACGCGGAAGGCCATCTACCGCTACGACTTGGCCTCAGGAGCGGTCGAGCAGCTGCCTCTCACCGGGCTGCGGGCAGCGGTGGCCCTGGACTTCGACTATGAGCGCAACTGCTTGTATTGGTCTGACCTGGCCTTGGACACTATCCAGGTGCACTGACACTGGGGCTGGGCCTGGGGGCGGGCCTGGGGGCGGGGCCTGGGGGTGGGGCCTGGGGACGCCTGCCCAGCCTAGATAAACTTTCAGAGGCCTACGGATGTGGGTGGTGGAAGTTTCAAGTCTTAACTCATCTCAGGGCCAACTGATGAGCGGTCAACAAAGGGAACCCCAAATCTGAGTCTTGCTTGTAAACAGGTCTCGCTTCTGCTGGGAAGATTTTACGGCTGCGAATGTGGAATATTTAGTCACTTCCTCTGTAGTCACTTCACCTCTAGCGTCCTTCCCAGGCCATGCTACAGTCACACTTGATTTATCCAGAGTTTTTGTAATTATCCACTTTACCTATTCTGGATGCAGTCAAGAACCAGGAAGTGAGCTGTGAAGCCGCCGCCCCCCCCCCCCCCAGGCCCACACAGCCACACACCCAACCCATGCATTTGAAAGGAGAGCTGTTTGGTCTTTAATGCTTTTAGAAAAGCAACTTCAACAAGTTTTATCTGTACTTGTAACCCAACGAAATTTTGCGGTGCTTGGGTGTTTGAGGCTGAGCGTGGGGGATGGGTGACTGCTGCTGAATTGTCTCAGGAGCAGCCCCTGAGGGCTGAGAGCCTCTCCAGGGAGGAAAGCTATGAAAAGCGGACGAGGGAGCTTAAAAATAGTACAAATCGCCCTGGCCGGTTTGGCTCAGCGGTTGGAGCGTCCACCTGCGGTCTGGAGAGGCCCGGGTTCGGTTCCCGCTAAGGGCATGTACCTCGGTTGCAGTTTGTCCCCGGCCCTGGTTGGTTGTGCGGGTGGCAGCCACTCGATGTGTCCCTTTCACATCGATGTTTCCCTCTCTCTCTCTTCCTCTCTCTCCCTCCCACTCTGTACAAAAAATGGAAAAGTGTCCTCGGATGAGGATTAAAAAAAAAAAAAAATAGTACAAATCTAGTTTTGTTTATCTTAAAAGCAAACAGACTCTCGCTTCTCAGTTACCTCCGACTGCTACTGTGATGCAGCATAGTTCAGTAGTAGTGTCCAGGGCAACACAGAGTAATGTAAGTGGTTCGGTTCTGTTCAGTTCCTCGGCCTCAAACAGGAGGGCATACTGTGTTTTAGAAATGTGTTGAATTTATCTGGAAAGCTTGCTCATCCCTTGCCAGTCAGGTCAGCGGAATAAAGGGTTACCATCCGTGGGGCTGATGGGCAGGAGGTCATTGGAGCATTTCACAGAATGTCTTCCTCTTGTCTCTGCAGCGCCTTTGTTTGAATGGGAGTACCGGGCAGGAGGTGATCATCCGCTCCGGCCTGGAGACCGTCGAAGCCTTGGCCTTCGACCCCCTCAGCCAGCTACTGTACTGGGTGGACGCTGGCTTGAAGAAGATCGAGGTGTGTATCCCCGTCCTTGAGGCAGTGGGCAGGGGTTCGCCCGAGGTCGGCACCAGCGATGTGTCATGGCATTCTGGGATTCCAGACTTCAGGGAATGGGTCGACCGAGCCTCTGGAGAAGGGAGGAAAAGGGGGTTGTCTCGGAATTATGCTCTCTGCCGTGAAGGTCCCATGTAAGAACAGAATACGGGCATCTGCCAAACAGATTTCATGAAGTACCTAAAAGTTTATATTTTGGCTCGAAACTATGATAGTAACAATACCATAGCATTCTAAGAATGCTGTAACATCAGCATTCTAATGTCATTGCAGTTGATTAGAGTAATACAATATCATCACCATCATCATCATCATTACCGCTGATGCTGAGTACTTACTGTGTACCAAGTCCTGTTGGAACCACTTTGCAGGAGTTATCTGATTCACTTCCCCTAACAACCCAGTAAGGTAGCTGTTCTTATGATCCCTGCCTCAGCCCTGCAGCTGGGCTGCCCAAGGCAACATGGGGTAAGAAATGGCCTTTGAGCCGCCAAAGTCATCTCCAGGAACACAGCTCCTTCGACTCCTGCCGTCCTGCGGAGGCCCTGGGACCCTGCCCCCTGCTCTCATGCCGATGCCCTGTGCAGCTGTGGCACGTGGGCTGAGTGGGAAGCACAGAAGCAGGTAGACTCAGAGCCAGGAGAAATTGCAAGACAGAAGCCACAGAGCTGAGAGAGGCCTGGGCTCCGTCTTTGTCCCAGTGGCCGAGTGGCGTGGGCTTCGGTTTCTTCCCCTGTGAGGTGAACATTCTCTCAACACTCGGCCTTTGCACAGGCACATCCGAGTGCACAGTGCGCCAGGGGCCGCTTCACACTGCGCACATGTCCAGAGAGAGCACATGCGGCAGGCAGTGTGCCATGTGACTGGCGGTGGGAGCACACGGCCGAGGGGCACAGGAGGCGTCGGGAGGACGTGGCCCCTGATCTGGCTGAGCCCCGACTGCAGAGCTGTGCGAGCACTGGCCTCAAGGGCAGTTGAGAGGAGGGTGTGGAAGCCGCTCAGGCCTGGCACACATCGGTGGCTGCGGTCTTGTTGGCATCTCTTTCCTCTAATTGTGCCTGTGCTCTGCTGGGTGCTGGGGGTGCAGGCGGAGCTACGGCCTGTGCTCTTCTGGGTGCTGGGGGTGCTGGGGGTGCAGGCGGAGCTACGGCCTGTGCTCTGGGGGTGCTGGGGGTGCAGGCGGAGCTATGGCCTGTGCTCTGGGGGTGCCGGGGGTGCAGGCGGAGCTACGGCCTGTGCTCTGGGGGTGCTGGGGGTGCAGGCGGAGCTATGGCCTGTGCTCTGGGGGTGCTGGGGGTGCAGGCGGAGCTATGGCCTGTGCTCTGGGGGTGCTGGGGGTGCAGGCGGAGCTACGGCCTGTGCTCTGGGGGTGCTGGGGGTGCAGGCGGAGCTACGGCCTGTGCTCTGCTGGGTGCTGGGGGTGCAGGCGGAGCTATGGCCTGTGCTCTGCTGGGTGCTGGGGGTGCAGGCGGAGCTACTGCCTGTGCTCTGGGGGTGCTGGGGGTGCAGGCGGAGCTACGGCCTGTGCTCTGCTGGGTGCTGGGGGTGCAGGCGGAGCTACGCCTGTGCTCTGCTGGGTGCCGGGGGTGCAGGCGGAGCTACGGCCTGTGCTCTGGGGGTGCTGGGGGTGCAGGCGGAGCTATGGCCTGTGCTCTGCTGGGTGCTGGGGGTGCAGGCGGAGCTACGGCCTGTGCTCTGCTGGGTGCTGGGGGTGCAGGCGGAGCTATGGCCTGTGCTCTGCTGGGTGCTGGGGGTGCAGGCGGAGCTACGGCCTGTGCTCTGGGGGTGCTGGGGGTGCAGGCGGAGCTACGGCCTGTGCTCTGCTGGGTGCTGGGGGTGCAGGCGGAGCTACGGCCTGTGGTCTGGGGGTGCTGGGGGTGCAGGCGGAGCTATGGCCTGTGCTCTGCTGGGTGCCGGGGGTGCAGGCGGAGCTACAGCCTGTGCTCTGGGGGTGCCCGGGGTGCAGGCGGAGCTACGGCCTGTGCTCTGCTGGGTGCCCGGGGTGCAGGCGGAGCTACGGCCTGTGCTCTGGGGGTGCTGGGGGTGTAGGCGGAGCTACGGCCTGTGCTCTGGGGGTGCTGGGGGTGCAGGCGGAGCTACGGCCTGTGCTCTGCTGGGTGCTGGGGGTGCAGGAGGAGCTATGGCCTGTGCTCTGTCTGGGGGTTTGCCGGGGTGCAGGCGGAGCTACGGCCTGTGCTCTGGGGGTGCCGGGGGTGCAGGCGGAGCTACGGCCTGTGCTCTGCTGGGTGCCGGGGGTGCAGGCGGAGCTACAGCCTGTGCTCTGGGGGTGCTGGGGGTGTAGGCGGAGCTACAGCCTGTGCTCTGCTGGGTGCTGGGGGTGCAGGCAGAGTCAGTGCTCCCCCTCTCACAGGCTTGTCGGGAGGCCCGCGCACAACTCAATGCTGCTCCTGCAAAATGGTGTAGAACTAGGGCTGCTCATTGATGAAGGTGGTCGGAAGAGTGTGCAGAGGGGGAGGGCCTGGAGGTGAGCTCCGACGGACAGGTGGGGTTTGATCAGAGCAGAGGGGAGGCCCAGGAGGGCCCATGGCGAGGGCAGACAGGCATAGAGAATCATGAGAAGGCAAGTCTTGCTGAAGTTGTAGGGGCTGAACTAGAAGAGGGGACTGTGGGCTGGTCTGTGACAAGGCTGTGACACTGGATCTGTCTGTGGACAGCGCAGAGCCGTTGGTGCCCGGAGCACGGAGTGCCAGGCTGGTTAAGTGAGCCTCTGTGCCCACCGTGCCCTGGGAAGGGGCTGGCACCTCTGTCAGCCCGTGAGAATGGCCACAGGAGCCAGAGGAGAGAACCTGTTGTTCTGCCTGCCAACGGGCAGATTTTCCAGGTCGGCCTGTAGGGAATCCGCTGGCCACAGGCCCTGTCAGTAGGCAGGAGCGATGGGAGACGTTTAAGGGGCTCAGATCCATCTTGGCCTTTTTCTCTTCCTTTTTTTTTGGTCAGGTAGCTCATCCAGATGGTGACTTCCGACTCACAATCATCAATTCCTCTGTGCTCGACCGGCCGAGGGCTCTGGTCCTCATGCCCCAGGAGGGGTAAGTGTGGCCAGTGGGAGTCAGTGTGTGCCCAGGGCTGCTTGTATGAACAGTCTGCTGTGTGACCATCTCTGTATTTATCTTTGCGCAGTTTTATTATTCTGGGGATAAACTCCAGTGAGAGAATGTTTGGGTTAAGAAATGAAATGGTATTAAGCCTTCTGATTACCTCGGGTGATGATAATGCTGGAACAACCAGCTGGTATTCTGGAGGGCTTCTCGCCTGCTTGGTGTAGCATCAGAGCTCCTGCTCCCGGTCCTGGTGTGACGTGTTCACTCTGGTTGGGACAGGGTGATGCTCTGGACCGACTGGGGAGACCTGAAGCCGGGCATTTACCGGAGCAGCATGGACGGCTCTGCGGTGCGCTGCCTGGTGTCCGAGGACGTGAAGTGGCCCAACGGCATCTCTGTAGACGACCAGTGGGTCTACTGGACCGACGCCTACCTGGACTGCATTGAACGGATCTCTCTCAGTGGCCAGCAGCGCTCTGTGCTCCTGGACAACCTCCCACACCCCTATGCCATCGCGGTCTTTAAGGTGAGGACCGTTCCCGGCACAGGGTGGTCTGTCAGAGCGGGCGCGGGCCCGCTGCAGGGAGGAACCGACTCTGGGTTTGCAGAGGCTTGTCTAACTTCTAGAAAATAGCTATTTCTGAATTTGAGGCAGTTTCTTTAGCCCGTGTGGAGAGATGCCAGACGGGTGCCAGGGGTCCAGGGTACTCACTGGTCATGTTCCCAAGGGTTACAGGTGAGGAGACTCCACGTGAAGTCCCCAGTTTGCCCGCTAGTGTGGGCCCTTTGGCGCTGTGTCTGCACCCTTGGGGGTTTGCTCACTTCATGCCCTGATGCCCGTGCTGCCGACCCACTTCCTCTTCGGCTCTAGAGGGCAAAGGTCATGCCCAACACTGAGAAGCAGATTCCAAACTGAAGGGTTGGGCTTGTGGTCCCAGTGAATGCTGACCAAGTCACATCTCTCGAGCAGCTCCTCGGTGTGGTTGCATCAATTCCCTGCTCCCGCATTTGAGTCCTGCCGGGGCCACCTGTCTGGTCAGGTGCCACGAGATCCAGCGTGGACATGGGAGATCTGGACTCAAGAGCAAATGCTTTCTTTGCAGAATGAAATCTACTGGGATGACTGGTCACAGCTCAGCATATTCCGAGCTTCCAAACACAGCGGGTCGCAGGTGGAGCTTCTGGCCAGCCAGCTCACGGGACTGATGGACATGAAGATTTTCTACAAGGGGAAGACAGCTGGTAAGGCGGTGTCTCCTTCCTCTCTCAGGCTGATCTCTGGAGAGGGGCCGGGTGTGGCGGTCTTTACTCAGGAGCCTGCATCCTTATGATGGCAGCGTGCTCATCATTCAATTTCTCCCTAATGACATCATGATTTCTTTTCTAATGATACACAAATATCTTGAAGACAGCATGGTTTTGCCTGCCTAGAGTGTTGGCGATTGGTAGTCATTACACCCTCCTTCCTTTGCCCCTTACTGAGCGGGGTGTGACTTTAGTTGCAGCTGGAGAGGCCCAGTGTGTGCTTACTTTCTGTGACACCCTCACCAGGAGCTGGGCTGAGCTGGGTGGTCAGCAGCTGCTGCGTCCTGGCGGGGGTGCGCGGGCGGGCCCGTGCCTCCCTCGTGAAGCTAGGACTTCCTGGAACGATGTGCCCCACCATGAACTGAGCCCCGTGAAGAAGGTTGTATGTATATAGTCTTTGGCCAGTAGTTTTACCAATGCCTCGCACTTAGTAGGTGCCCAGTTCGTACTTACTGGAAGAAGGGACGGAAGGGAGGTGAAGAACGCCCGTGGGGCAGCAGGCAGCTTTGTTCAAGATTGTCGGCCGAGGCTCCTGGAACTCTACAGGCTCTGACCTGCTCCTGAATCGGAGCCGGTGGTGGAGGGACAGCCTTGCTCCGCACTTGACCGGCTCCTTCGTGTATCCCCTCCCCGTACTGCGGCCCTGCGGGAGTGATCGGGCTTCCAGAAGAGTCCTTCCAGGAAGCGCCCTCTTCACCCTCGGCAGGGAATAGCACCTGGGTCTGCTGACCAAGCGCTCGGTTCTGTTTTGAGTGAGAATGTTGACATTGTTCTGTGGGTTTTCGCTGGCCCTGGGAAATAATGAGGTGCTAGATATCACTGTGATCCTTTGGGGACCTGTGCGAAGGCGCGAGAACTCCCTTAGAAAACTGTTCTCGAACTGCACGTCAGGATGATTGTTCCGTCCTCAGGACTGACCCGTGAGGTGGGCAGGCCTGGAGTTAGGATCTGCGGTTTATAGATTAGGGAAAGAAATCCCAGGTAAGAATCTGTGTTCCCAGAGGCCCCTTACCAGCCCCGGAGCTGGGTTCTGTCCCAGCTCTGCCAGGACATGGAGAAGCCTCCTGCCTTCTTGGAGGAGGTGCCTGTTCTGAGCCCGGGGTGAGGAGGGGAGTGTGCACCTCCACCCCAGTGAGTGCAACCTCAGGGCCTTGAATGGAGGTACCAGCCCCACAGCCCCCTCGCTAGCAGGCTGAGTGAATCGTCACCATTTCTCCAAGTTACCACGCAGCCCAGAAGAACGGGTCTGCATTCGACGAGCACTTGTAAGCATGTGTTTGATGAGCACAAGCAGCTCCTGAAACACTGTGTTCAGATGAGCCAGTAGTCCCTGGGTCCTCCGTGCTGGTGCTCACTCCAGGGGGCAGCAGCCATACTGTCACCAGCTACTTAAACGGAAGGTGACTGTCAGGAGGCCTCCCGCCGCAGACGCAGGCTCTCAGACCGGCCAGCTGGGGCAATCAGAGCTTCTGCAGCGGCATCTGGCTGCCAGCACAGTTCATGTGCGGTGGGCGTTTCCGGGTCTGAAACTGGTTTGCTCTCTCCTGCCTGCTTTTCGTGGACACTGAGAGAATGTTGCAAATGTATGCTTTGTATTGGCACTCTCTGGTGCCAGTCAATCTTCATGATTTCCTCCTTACACATGTAGTACTTTCTGTTAGTGTAAAATAATAATGATGATGATAATTACATTTATTATTGTCTAGCCGGTATGGCTCAGTGGTTGAACATCGACCCTGCACTAAGAGATTGCAGGTTCGATTCCCAGTCAGGACACATGCCCAGGTTGTGGGCCTGATCCCCAGTGGGGGGCATGCAGGAGGCAGCCAGTCAATGTTCTCTGTCATCGATGTTTCTCTCTCTCTCTCTCTCTCTCTCTCTCTCTCTCTCTCTCACTTCCTCTGTCTAAAATCAATAAAGGAAAAAAATTACGTTCATTAAGGGGTGGGCATGTTATCAGCACCACACTAATGTTGTTTATGGGCTTGTATAACCTCAGCTAATCTCTCCTAAATCCACGGGTGCTGTTAACATTTCCACTTAGTAGATGAAAACACGTAAGTCAGGGATAGTCACTGTTACACATCGCCTGTGTCATGAGTGGCCCTGTTGCAGGAGAAGTCAGTGGTCGAATGTCCCCATCGGCAGTGGGGCTGGGGCTCCTGTGATATCTCCAGAGAAGGAACTTCTAAGCCGTGCAGGGGAGAATGGTTTTCATTTGTGCGGAGTTGCATGCCAGGGATCCAAAGTCCCACGTCCCTTAAGCCAGTGCTGGAAAGGGGGCTGTTAACGCATCAGCGCTAGAAGTAGGCCAGTGTCCAGATCCTGTCCGTGGTGGACTGGGTCTGTGTAGCATCAGGCTGGATCTGTCTCGTTGATCCCTGAGTGAGTTCACATGCTGTGGGCCCCCCGCAGGCGTCCCAGCAGGAAAAAGAAAACTGAGAGAGGGAACTTTCTTTGTTCCAGGTTCAGTATCCCAGATTTCACGCTGTGCCGTGGCCACACCTGTTCTGGCCACTGACTTATTCTGAGGAGTGACTGACAGGGAAGCACCTTGCTGAGCATGCATCTAAGCTGCCTTTGTCCAGTCCCCTCCCCCACCGATCAGCAGGGAACACACCTGGCTGTGTTTCCCACTCCAGCCCATCAGCCCCCAGCATGTGGGGTCCGCAGGGTGACGTTACCAGGAAGGAAACACCGGCAGGCGCCAAACAAGATAACCCCGAGCCAAGAGCACGAGAGAGGCAGCACCTTTGTTTAATGAATTATATATTCCCAAATTTTTGTGGGCTTGCAGTGCCCACGCCCATTCTGGCCAGCCGTCTCTGTCCCCAGGTGTGGTTGACAGGCAGGTACCTTCCCTGTGTCACCCCAGCCTTACGGGGCATGGGTCTGTCCTCCCTTCGTGGCTCCCAGGGGAATGCAGATTTGCAGCTTCCTGGTGAAGCTGCGCAAATGACATGGGTACAGCTCTGGCCTTTCTCCCTCTGCTCCTTTTCCTGTTACTAATAGCTGACTAACTGCAACAGTATCGCTTTGAATACAGACTGTGTCCCAGACCCTGTGGGTGGCTTTCCCTCAGTGGCAGCTCTGCACCCCAGTTGCCTGGGACATGTGTCCCTGAGATGGAGCCGAACAGGCCAGCTCGTTTCTGGCCTGTCTGCGGTGGTCAGCTGGTTACTCTGCCAGGACAGCTTCCGCCTTTAGGGTTCTGGGGTTATTTGGGGAAGCCTTTTGAATCTTCCTCCCTCAGTGTCTGTGTGTTTTGTCTGTTTAGTAATGTCTTACACTCTGTGGTCTTTCGCTTCAAAATAACATGTTGCTCTATGGTTGTGGTTTTACTGTTAAGGGTTGTGCCATTGCAACCCCGATGAGGCGCCACATGTCCAGAGGTGCTGAATGGCCCGCGCCCAGCAGCACTGGTGGTCAGGAGGATGCCTGTCTTCCCGCCGCAGGCCCTGGCAGGCAGGCGCAGCTCGAATCTTGGCTGGAAACAGGTCACCTGGGTGTGATTCCATGGGTTCTCTCTCTGTGACATGGCACAGCTGAAAGATTGTCATCGTTGAGTTTTATCACAGGGTTCATGTTCATTTTTCCCACCTTGATGATGAATAGTCACACAGAAGAGGAAAAACATCCATTTTGTAATCCAGGTGGCTTTTGTGTTGCTTGATGGCGTGTTTTCAGTCATTCTGTTCGTGCATCCTCTCGCCTCCTTCCCAGAAAGATGTTGGAGATGGAAACGCACCTTTTCCATCGCTGTTCATCCACACAGGTTTCTCTCGAGTCCAGTGAAGGATTTTATGGGCTCTGCCTCGCATTCTGTTTAGAAAGCGAAACAGAGAAAAGTTTAGAAACAGTGGATGGGTCAGCATGAGTGGGTGTGTGTGTGGATGTATCATGGCAGACAGTGCCCGGTGAGTTCTGTGTGGCATCATCCAGCTCCGTGCCGCACCTGGCACAGAGGAGTGCGAAATTAGACCCGGACTTTGGTCTTGGCCCCGATGTTTCCCAGGTGCATGTTCTAAATAAAAACTTTGGGGTCACAGGGTAACTCAAGTAGAAAGTGCTATCGAAGGACACAGGAAGACAGTAGGCGCCCAGAGACAGAAGCTGGTGAGACTTGGGGGGGGGGGGCTGGGAGCGGCAAAACCATGCTCCCTTCCCCTCTGCCCAGGTCCCCTCCCCAGTCCCCGGTGGTGTCCTTTTTGCAGAATTCCACTTTGGCCTCCCAGCTCTCCTTTCTGCACACTCAGCTTGTTCCTGCACAGCTCCGCCTGCATGGGTCTGGGCGCGTCCTGCACCCCCTGCACACCCACATGATACGGCTTTTCTCCCAGCCTCAGCCCCCATTCCTTTCTGGTCTTTCTGCACCTCAGTCCTGAATTCCCTGGAGCACCGCTGACTCGTGGCGTGGCTGTGGGACTGTGGAACTGTGGAGTCCGAGGCTTCATTGAGCCGGAACTTTCCGGAGCACTCTGAGCAGTGGTTGTTGCTTCTCCACCGTCTGCTCTGAGCTTCACCTGGGGGTGGCCAGTGAGGCGCTCTGGGTCCCGCTGCTCCTTGCAGCGCCTCCTGGTGCCCACTGACGGATGCTGTGGTTCTGTGCTTTCTCTCCAGGAAGCAACGCCTGTGTGCCCAGGCCATGCAGTCTCCTGTGCCTGCCCACTGCCAACCACAGTAAGAGCTGCAGGTGTCCGGAGGGCGTGTCCAGCACTGTCCTGCCGTCTGGGGACCTGAGGTGTGAGTGCCCTGTGGGCTATCAGCTGAGGAACAACACCTGTGTCAAAGAAGGTGCCTCCCCTCCCCTCCTCGCCCGCCCGTGCCCCTTCTCCCTTTTCCCTCTTCTCTGCGGGTGCTCTCTGTTCCCCAGGGTTTGTGAGTTAGGGAAAATGCCCAAGGTACCAGTAAAACCACCAGATACTTCTCATCTCAGCCAGGTTCTGGGCCTGTGGCATTTCCGTCCTCATTCAGAACAGTCCTGAGCTGTTCATTTAAAAATAATAGCTCAGAATAATATTATTTAAAAGTAGTATGCTTTTGGTTTAAAGTCAAGTGACACAGGCTTCCCTGGAGCTGTCTTCTGTTCCTGCCCATCTCCCACACCTCCGCTCTCCAGCTCCCTGGGCGATGGACCAACTCCACTGGGAAGAGAATTGGTTTGACTCCTTCACAGCTCACCTTACCCGCCTAGCAGTTCGCCCTCACCCCACCCGCAGCCCGAAACGTCCTGAACTTTCAGACAGGTGCCGCGAGGGCCTGGCGTTCCTGCGTACCGGCCGTGGCCTTGGGTCCCCTTGTCCTGGCCGTGGCCTCGTGTCCCCGTGTCCCAGCCGTGGCCTCACGTCCCCATGTCCCGGCCGTGGCCTTGTGTCCCGGTCGTGGCCTTGTGTCCCCACATCCCGGCCGTGGCCTCGTGTCCCCGTGTCCCGGCCGTGGCCTCGTGGCCTCGTGTCCCAGCCGTGGCCGTGGCCTCGTGTCCCCGTGTCCTGGCCGTGGCCTCGTGTCCCCACGTCCCAGCTGTGGCCAGTTGGCTGCAGCAGCCTCATCACACTCTTTCTTTGAATTTGAAAACCCAGAGTCTAAGCATTTTCTCCGAAAAGCTGTTTAATCTTTTTGTTCTGTCTGATTCTAACGCTCTCCTCTTTCCCAGTCCCGAGCCTCACATTTCTGTCACTGAGGTGAACCCCTGGAAGGGACCTTGTCATGAAGTCCCCAATCCATGGCCCAAATTCCACTTTTTCTTGCTCTCGAGTGACTACAGGTCACCACTGCCCACGGAGCCTCTCTGTTGGGGCCGAGGTGTCGCCTGACGTCTCTTCTCCACACACGAGGGAGGAGAAGAGCCCCCTGCAGGCACAGGGTCTGGCTTGAAAGTCGTTTCACAGTCACTGGGAGAGAATCCGAGGTGACACGGCTTCGGGGAGACGGGGAGCAGGCCCTCCTGTATCCCCATGTGGTCCACCCCACCGACAGCACGCTTTTATCTGTGAGGAATTAAACCTGAGTGTTTAAAGATTCACGGGGTAGGAAGACCCAAGCGTGTAAGGAAAGTCTGCATGACACACTCGGTTGAAGAATACGTGTGAATACATACAACCGCACAGTGTATGCAGCTGTGGGCACACTGAACACACATGTGAACACCGTGTAGTGCAGAATGAAGGTGTTCCTGTGGAACGAGGGTTCCCTGACCCGGTACATGTCCCTCTGCCCGCTGCGCCCTGTTGGCACCATATCTCCTAGTTCGTGTCGTCACCACCCAGAGACACCCCTCCAGCCTCTCCCCCTTTCGCTTGACTGGGAAGGGGAGAGAGGGCGGGCCGCCGCCCCTCCGAGGCCGTGACCGGGACGGAAGCGGAGCGCTGTGGCTGCACAGTGACGCTGCTCTCCCCGCCAGGCAGCGCCTGTCTGCACAGCCAGTTCCGCTGCAGCAACGGGAACTGCATCAGCGGCATCTGGCGGTGCGACCTGGACAACGACTGCGGCGACATGAGCGACGAGAGGAGCTGCCGTGAGTCTCCGCGTGGGCTTCGGCCACCCTCCGCTTCCCGTTGTCCGAGCGTCTGTCCCCGGGACTGGCCCTCAGAGCAGCGATTTTCACCCTTGTTCATCTCGTGGCTTTGATTGAAATTCTGTGGCACACTGAAAAGTATACTTTTTGCGATTTTTTTTTAAATCCTCACCCAAGGATATTTTTTCTATTTACCTTCAGATAGAGTGGGAGGAGGAGAGAGAGAGAGAGAGAGAAACAATGATGCGAGAGGGACATATTGATTGGTTGCCTCCCACACAACCTGGACCAGGGCCGGGGATGAACCACAGCTGAGGTACGTGCCCTTGACCGGAATCGAACCTGTGACTTACTGGTCCGAGGGCCGACACTGACCACTAAACACACTGGCCAGGGCAAAATTAGGTATAACTTTGATTCATGACACCAGGCAGCTATTGTGTTGGCTGTTGGCCCTTTTTTATTTGACAGTCAAGGGAAAAGAGATCAGCGCCCCTGGCTAAATAGTCAGGTATTGCATGTTTTAAAAATTCTTGGGGCACCATGGCAAAAATCACTGCTCCAGGGTGCTGACTGGCCCCTCATGGTCGGCGATGCCCATTTAAGCTGATGGGGTTGTTTGGAGAACAGAGAAAACACATCTCCATACTCAACTAGTATGTGTTATTATTTTAAGACAGACACATAAATATAAGTTGACCACATCATTGTGAAAGATGTACAGAGAGGCACCACATGGCTGACACTAAATTGGGGGTCGGGCAAGCGGGGTTCCCTGTGGCCCGACCGCAGTAATAACCCCGGTGACCGGGCGGTGGCAGGTGCCGGGTGCAACCTGTAAGTTCAGTTTCCGCCTTGTGCAGCTGGGAACCGGTCTGGCTCCGGTGCTCCTCCAGCCGGTGGGTGCTGGTTGCGTCCACCGCACTGGGGTCCTCGTGTGTCTGGAATGTGGGGACATTGCTGTTGTGCCTATAAAAGTGTCTTTGGGTCACGTGATTCCTGAGGTCTACCCAGTAGAGTGTGTGATTCTGTTTGACAGGGTGTGAAGACAGAGTTAGTTTTCAGCAGCTTTGACATCATCCTGTCAGTCAGTGACATGTCCATACACACACTCAGCAAGAGTGGGAGACCCTTTGTGTCAGGCTCTGGACTGGGCCTTGGGATGCGCTCTGAGCAGGATGGACAGCATGTGAGGTCTGGACGGGAGCGACAGAAGCAGTGGCCAGTCGCATTGGTGTGCCGATGCCGTGAGGGGGAAGGTCCAGGGAAGGTCCACATCTTTCTCACGTAGGTGTCGTGAAGGGCCCTGGGGTGAGCAGAGGTAGCCGAGCCCAGGTGGAGGGAGCAGCATGCAGGAGGCCCGTAGGTCACAGTGTGTGTGGCCTGGTCAGCAAACTGGTGAGGGTCACTGGGAACTTGGGTGGCACAGGGGCCAGGGGAAGTTCGATCAGTGTGTGGGGCCTAGTACAGGAAGGTGCAGTCATGGTGGACGAATAGCCAGAGCCCCTGGAAAACGTTAGGATGTACATGCTCACAGCATTGTGGAGGGTTCTGGAAAGGAGTTCATTACATAGCAGGTGGGTGGGAGTGCTTCTTGGAATTCACTCATCGCAAGAAAATTGCTCAGCCGTGACCAGGCAGGGGAGGAGAGAGGGGCTTGATGAGCCAATGTCCACGGCTAGGGGTTCCTCCTGGGGCCCCTGGACTTTGGCTTCTGCTAGACAGACAAGCATGGGCCTCATTGGTTCAGTGTTTTGAGAAAGACCTCCTCACACCTTGGGGTGCTGCCTCCACCCCGCCCTGAGCTCTGCCATTGGCCTGCAGCCCCCACACCTGGAGCTCCTCCAGCGCAGTGGCACCTGGCTCTGCCCCTGGCGGGGTGTGACGTCAGCGTGGAGACCTGCTTTCCTGCCGCTGCACTGGGCTCAGGCCCGGCTGGTCCCACCGGGCAGAGGGAGCAGGCGAGGGCTGCAGGGAGAGAGTGTGGAGCCCGGGATGCAGAGCGGGTGTGCTCTGGGCCTGTCTCCGTCCGGGCCGGGAGGGCAGGGGCGGCCGGGCTGCGGCACCAGGATGGGACAGGGCTGCCTGGCGGGGGACGTGAGGCCCTCTGGGCAGACTCCTGTGTGGGGAGTTGTCAGGTGCTTGGGGTTTTTCCGTGAACCCCCTAGTCTTGTCACTTTTACATTTGCCCGCCCCCACCATGAGCTCAGTTACAGAGGAGAAGTAGAGCTTTGAATAGGGGTCAGGGATGTCTCACTGCAGGCTGGCCCCGGCCTGTCACCTGGCTCCGGACAGCGGCCTCCGTCCGGGACCGTCCCGACAGGCGCTTCCCTGGCCCTGGGGCTGTGCTGCCGCCCAGGAGGTCTGTAGAAGAGCAAGACCTCGCTGCCCGTCCGGACGGGGAGCGCGAGGGGCGTTGGGGTAGGGCCATGGCAGTGCTCCTGGCAGCGTTGCGCTCACTCCCTATTTAACGGGCTCTGGCCCAAACTTGTTTCTTACTTATCTTCACGATGATGCCATGAGGTAGGCGTTATCATCATTAAAAAGTAGAGGGAAGAGGCCTGGCCAGTTTGGCTCAGTGATTGGAGCATCGGCCCATGGACTGGGGAGTCGCAGGTTCGATTCCGGCTAAGGGCACTTGCCTCGGTTGCGGTTTTTCCTCGGCCCTGGTTGGGGTCGTGCAGGTGGCACCCACTCGATGTGACTCTCTCACATCGATGTTTCTCTCTCTCCCTCTCCCTCTGTGTAAATGTACAAATATCCTCGGGTGAGGATTTAAGAAAAAGAAGCCGAGGGAGGGAAGGCACAGAATCGTAGGTGAGTTGTAGATGGTGAAGACGTACATCTAGCTTTTCTGAGCTTCTTCACAAGCATGTGCCACATCGTCTTCTGCATCACCTGCCGCTTTTCACGTGGGGCTCACCGAGGCTCCGGGAGCTTCCGGGGAATTGCTTGAGAACGAGGTGGACCAGGATGGGAGATCAAGACCTGATTGGCTACAGAGCCCATGTTCCTGCTGCAGAACTGCACCCCCACTACCTCTGTTCCCATGTGACAGGGGCCAGCTTGTGTGCGGCACGGGGCTTCCTAACGCTGGCTCTCTGGGTGATTTAGGAGGACCCCTCCCATCTGAGGGGCGTCGGGGGCCAGCCCACCGTTCTCTCCCAGCCGTGCCTTTCCCACTCGTCCTAGCCTGCTCTCGTGTGAAGCTATGTTGTAAATCCCGGGCTCTCACACGCTTTGTTCTTTCCATAAAGCTGGGTTTTGTTTCTGTTGCTACAATTCAGGTCTGCTTCCCTCTTACTTTGAGTGGGTTTTCCAGGGGAGTGTCTGTGCTCGGGGGCTGGTCATACCTACTGAGTGTGTCATCTTTCCCCCTTAGCCACCACCGTCTGCGATCCGGACACTCAGTTCCGTTGCCAGGAGTCTGGGACCTGCATCCCGCTGTCCTACAAGTGTGACCTTGAAGATGACTGTGGCGACAACAGTGATGAGCATCACTGCGGTAAGGGGACACGATGTCCGGGAGCTGTCCCGGGTGGGGGCAGCGTCCTTGCTCACTGGGCTGGCTCCTGGATTTCTGAAAGCTGTCAGCTGCCTGCCCACCCCGTCCAGCGGCACTACTCGTTCACGGCAGCTGACCGCCTCCCTGCACGCTGTCGGCCGCAGTGCCCCCACGAGGAAGGGCTTCTGAGTGGACTGGGTCCTCGGGCCACACAGACTGGGCCCCACCTCCTGGTGCTGTGTGTACCCTGTGGGGCCACAGCTCAATGCCTCTGTGAACTGCTTGGTTCAATATTATTCAGAAAACTCTTAGAAGTCAGCAGACCCTGCAGACGTCGTTTGAGCATGTTTTCTGAATGGAAATTTTTATATGTAGAAATAGAGTGTTGGAGTGATAGAAACTTTCTCCTTCGGTCATTTTAGTTTCACGAGGAGGTGGCTGAGGGCCGTGGAGGTGCCAGGGTCCGTCTGTCCGATGGGGCGCTGGAGCCTGTGTTCCTCGTGCCCTCCGGTCCCACGGACGGCCCTGCCAGTTTCACGGGGCGGGGCGGGTCGATGGGCTCTGGGGCCCGCCCCGAGGTGCTGGCCGAGGGGGCACAGCGTGCGGTGCAGGTGGTGTCCAGGCTGGAGCCGGACGCTGTCCCCGGCTGCCCGGGCAGGCCGAGCTTCCAGACAGGGCCTGCTTTTCAGGGGCAGGTGGTTTGACTCGCAGGGACTGAACCAAGGGAGCAGGGAAATGCTCCCGTCTGGTTCTCAGAGCACTTTTTGGGGGGGTTTACGTAATTTTTTTCATCTTCCTAGAAATACAAAGTTCCAGAAAACAATCTTTGGGATTCACAATAATTTCTCTTTATTCCTCCCGTTTCCCACTCAACACACTGAGGGTTAGCGGGGGAAAGGCCACACGTTACATGTTCCTGGTGGCGTCTCACCACTCGCTCGGCTCACGCCTGGCCATTGAACAGTCACACTGCCTTGGGGCTCTCCGCCCGTGGTCCCGAATCTGCCCACGGTCTCAGCCCCTTGCTCAGAGCCAGGGGCTCTCCCGAGTCTCCAGACTTTTCTCACAAGTAGCCAAATCACCAGCTTCACCGTCAGCCTGTCTCCCGAGTGAGGCAGCTGAGACCCGAAACTCGGCCTCTGCCGTTCCCTAGACTGAAATCCCGCCGCGGACTGAAATCCCGCGGCGGCTCTGCTTCCTGCTGTCCTCGGCCCCACACCAGGTGCTCCAGCGGAGGCCCCTTTCGAGTCCTGGTCAGGGTGCTCCCTTCAGACGGCCCAGCAGCCACCGTCCCTGCAGCTGCACCCACAGAAAGCCCCAGCTCGGGTCCCTCTGTTTGGAAGGTCAGCACTGACCCAGTGTCCCCGAATTGAGCATCTCCTACTGACCTCTTGAGACGTTTTCTTCCTCCTTCTCTGAGACCACAGGCTCCGTCTTTAGTTTTCTGTTACTTGAAAATTCCCCTTTCTGGGCACCTAGAGGCCGCTTCACAATCCTCTTCCCATCAGGACTGCACAAGAGGTGGTACCTGCGCACTGACATCGGGCGGGCCCCTCTGCCTGAGGGGTGTGGAGGTGTCTTATCTCTGCACCTGCACATGGCCGACCCGTCCTCAGCGAGCTCACGTCCCCGCCTAGGGTCTGGGCGAGCACGCCGTCCAGATGAGCACGTTGCTGGGGTGGCGGCAGGGACCCGGGGCGGGCAGGTCAGGCTCGGAGACGCATCCTCCCTGTCTCCCCGCAGAGGTGCACCAGTGCCGGGATGACGAGTACAGCTGCCGCTCTGGCGTGTGCGTCCGCGCCTCCTGGGTGTGCGACGGGGACAACGACTGCCGAGACTGGTCTGATGAGGCCAACTGCACCGGTCAGTGTTTCCTGTGCGCCTGCGCCTGCGCTGCGAGCTTGCGCCCAGAGAGGAGGCGCCCCGGGAAGGACCTTGTGCCCCCTGGTTCCCTGTTTCTCAGGGGCTGGGCTGTGCTGAGCTTGGGACGAAATGCCAGCCAGCATCCTGCGCCCTTCACTGGGGTCTTGCTGGGAGTGTTTCAGGGACGAAGGGATGCAGGGTCGGTTAGTGTTCTGGCCCAAGCTGCTGCTGCTGCTGTTTGACCCTCACCGAGGGCGTTCTTGCATTCCCCGTCAGATGGAGCAGGAGCGAGGGAGGGAGAAACATCCATGTGAGAGAGACACATCGAGTGGTCGCCACCCACACGACCTCAACCAGGGCCAGGGACACTGCAACCTCGGTGCGTGCCCTTGGTGGAGCCGAACCGGGTCTCTCCGTCAGGTCCGCGGGCCACGCTCTGACCGCTGAGCCAGACCGGCCGGGCCCAAGCTTATTTCTGCAGGACCAGTGGTGAGCAGTTCACAGCGGGCCCTGTCTGGGGACCGGGTGCTGATGGCACTGAACCACCTGGTGTTTCTGAGTGGGGCACTGGGGGCCCCCCAAACCCTAAAAGCCTAGACTGCTTGCACCTTGCGGTTAGCGGTGCAGTAACAACACGGGAACAGCAGGAGAGTGCAGAGGGACGTGCGGCAGAGCCTCGCGGCAGTGCCGATGCTCCTGTTGGGACGTGGGTTCCCCATGGTTGACACATGACAGACTGAATGCCATGCGCATTGTGCAGAGTGGGGGCAGCAGGGAGCTGAGGAAGTTGTGGGGGAATAAAAGCAGAATCCCATTACCTCCTGGGAATTTTCCCCGCGACCAGCTCTAGACATCGTCGTTGAGCTCGACCCGAATGCCCTCCCGTGATGGCAGTAAAGGCTTTTGTCTCACCGTTCAGGCTTGGTTTACAGTCCACGTGTTTGTTTAGTTATAAAGTATGTTCGTTTTACTAGGAAGATAACTTAAAAGTTTACCTACAATATTATTTTGAACTGGATTCAGGCAGACAGCAGAGTGGTAGACAGTCACACACAGTCCCCCCAGTAGTTCCAGTCCCCCCCACCTGACTCCCTGTGCCGCCGGCTGTGTTCCCTGCGCTGTGCTTGACATCCTTGTCCTGCTTGTGGCTGCCGATGGCCTTGCTCCTCCCCACCTCTCCGCCAGTCTCTGGCAGCCGTTCGTCTGACCTCTGGGTCCGTGCGTCTCTGGATTGTGTTTATTCTTGTATCTTGCTTTTTACACTTCACATATTAGTGAGATGATATGAAAGCAGTTCTCAACCTGTGGGTCATGACCCCTTTGGGGGCTGAACGACTCTTCCACAGGGGTCGCCTAAGACGTAACAGTAGCAAAATTACAGTTATGAAGTAGCAGTGAAAATGATTTTATGGTTGAGGGTCACCACAACATGAGCAACTGTATTTTTAAATTTTTTTATCCTCGCCTGAGGACATTTTTCCATTTTTTTTGTTCAGATAGAGTGGGAGGGAGAGAGAGAAATATCGAAGTGAAAGGGACACATCAAGTGGCTGCCACCTGCACCACCAACCAGGGCTGGGGACAAACTGCAACTGAGGTCCATGCCCTTAGGGGGAACCGAACCCGGGTCTCTCTGGACCACAGACCAATGCTTTAACCACTGAGCCAAACTGGCCAGGACGAGGAACTGTATTAAAGGGTTGCGGCATTAGGAAGTTTGAGAACCACTGTGATATGGCATTGATCTTTCTTTAACTGGCTTATTTCACTTAGCATAGTACCCTCTAGGTCCATCCATGCTGTCGCAAATGGGACAATGTCATTCTTTTTATGAATGAGTAATATTTTATATAGGTATCATGGCTTTTTAATACACTAGTCTATTGATGAACAGTTGGGTTGCTTCCATATCTTGGCTATTGTAAATAATGCTTCAATGAACATATGGGTGCATATATTCTTTTGAATTAGTGTTTTGGGCTTCTTTGGATAAATACCCAGAAGTGGATTTGCTGGGTCACAAGGCAGTTCCATTTAAAATTTTTGAGGAACCTCCACACTGTTTCCATTGGCCTGCACCAGTCTGCATTCCCACCAGCAGTGCACAAGGGTTCCCTTTCCTCCTCAGCCTCACTAACGCCTGTCTTTTGTGGATTTTTTGATTAATAGCCATTGTGACAGGTATGAGGTGGTATTTTGTGCTGGTTTTAATTTGAATTTCTCTGATGATTAATGATGTTGAACATCTTCTCATATGTCTTTGTCCATTTGATATCTTCTTAGGAGAAGTATCTATTCGGTTCCTCTATTTTTTAATTGGATAGTTTGCTTCTTTAGTGTTAAGTAGTATGAATTCTTTATAAAATTTAGATATGAAGCTCGTATCAGTGTATCATTGGTGAACATTGTCTCCCATTCAGTAGGTTGTCATTCTGTTTTGTTGATGGCTTTCTTTGCTGTGCCAATGCTTTTTAGTTTGATGTAGTCCCATTTCTTTATATTTTCTTTTATTTACCTTGCCTAAGATTGTATATCAGAAACAAATTTTGCTAAGAAAAATGTGCAAGACTACTGCCTATGTTTTCTTCTAGGAGTTTTATGGTTTCATGTCTTACATTTAAGTCTTTAATCCATTTTGAGTTTATTCTTGTATATGGAGTAAGAAGGTGGTTGAGTTTCATTTTTTTACAAGTATCTGTTCAATTTTCCCAATACCATTTATTGAATAGACTGTCGTTACCCTATTGTATATTCTTGCCTCCTTTGTCAAATAGTGTTTATTGACCATAATGGAGTGGGTTTACTTCTGGGCTTTCTCTTCTTTTCTGTTGAACTATATTTGTGTCTTTATGCCGGTGCCATGCTGTTTGGATTACTAAGGTCTTGTAGTATAGTCATATATCAGGTAACGTGATTTCTACAGCTTTGTTTTTCTTTTTCATGACTGTTGAGGTTCTCCAGGGTCTTTTTCAATATTATATAAATTTTTAGATTATTTGTTCTAGTTCTGGAAAATACATCATTGGTATTTTGATAGGAATTGGGTTGAATCTATAGATTTCTTTGAATAGTGTGGACATTTTAATGATATTAATTCTTTCTATCCATGAACACAGTGTATACTTAAATTTATTTCTGTCTTCAATTTTTTTTTTATCTATATTTTTAAATTAAAATGTTTATTGTTGTGAGTACTACACATGTCCCTGATTTTTTTCCCATGCCCCCTCCTCCCAATTCCTGCCCCACCCCAGGCCTTCATCACCCTGTTGTCTGTGTCCTTGGGTTATCCATGTATGTATTTAAGTTCTCTGGTTAATCTCTTCCTGCCCTTCCTCCCCCTTCCCTCTGAGATTCTTCAGTTTGTTTCTTCAGTGCCTTCTAATGCTTTGAGTACAGGTATTTTACCTCCTTGGTTAAATTTATTCCTAGATTTTTTTTTTTTTTTTGATGCAGTTATGAATGAGATTATTTTCTTAGTTTTTATTTCTATTAGTTATTATTGGTGTATAAAAATGCAGCCAAGCCCAGGCTGGGTTGCTCAGTTTTTTGGAGCATCATCCCATACATCAAAAGAGTTGGTTGTGGGTTCGGATCCTGATCAGGGTACATACCTTGGTTGTGGGCCCATCCCAGCTTGGGGCACATATGGGAGGCAACTGATCAATGTTTCTTTATCTCATTGATGTCTCTCTCTCTCTGGTTTTCTCCCTCCCTCTGTCTAAAAAAAAAAAATCAATAAAAACATATCTTCAGGTGAGGATAAAAACATGCAACCAATTTCTGAATATTAATTTAATGTCCTTCTACTTTACTGCATTCATTTATCAGTTATCAGTTCTTAGTAGTTTTTTGGTGAAGTCTTTAGGGTTTTCTATGTACAGTATCATGTCCCCTGCAAATAATGATGGTTTCCAATTTGGATGCTTTTACTCTTTTTTTGTCTGATTGCTGTGGTGAGGACTTATGGTGCTATGTTGAGTAAGAGAAGAAAGGCAACATTCATGTCTTCTTCCTGATCTTAATGGAAATGCTTTTACTTTGACACCACTGAGCATGATGTTGGCTGTGGTTTGCCATATATGGCCTTTATTATGTTCCCTCTATTTCCACTTTGCTGAGTCTTTTGTCATAGATGGGTGCTGGATTTTGCCAAATGCTTTTCCTGCATCTATTAATTTGATCATGTGACTTTTATCCTTCATTTTGTTTATCTGGTGTGTCATGTTAATTGATTTGTGAATGTTGAACCGTCTTAGGAATAAATCCCACGTGATCATGGTGTATGATCTTTCTAATGTTTTGCTGGATTGGTTTGGTATTAGTTTGTTGAGAGTTTTTGTGTCTGTGTTCAACAGGGATATTGGCCTGTAGTTTTCTTTCTTTCTTGTGTCTTTATCTGGTTTGGAATTAGAACAATGCTGACCTTATAAAATGAGCTTGCGAGTCTTCCCTCCTCTTGAATGTTTTGAAATAGATTGAGAAGGACAGGTTAGTCCTTCTGTGAACGGCTCATAACATTTACCTGTGAAGCCATCTAGCACTGGACTTTTATTTGCTGGGATTTTAATTTATTATTGTTATTGCTTTGATTTTATTAGTTATAATCAAATCTGCTCAGATTTTCTGTTTCTTCTTGATTCATTTATGAAAGAAGGTATGTTTCTAGGAATTCATCCATTTCTTCCTGGTTGTCCAGTTTGTTGTTCTGTAGTTGTTTGTAATGTTTTTAAAAATAATTATTTGTATTTTTATGGTATCAGTTGTTACTTCTCATTTCTTTCAGATTTTATTTATTTGGGACCTCTCATTTTTTTTTTTCTTGATGACTCTGCTTAAAGTTAAAGGTTTATCAATCTTGTTTATCTTTTCAAAGAAACAGCTCTTGGTTTCATTAATCTTTAGTATTACTTTTAGACTCTTGTTATTTTTGTAGTTCCCTTAGGTGTAAAATCAGATTATTTATTTGAGATTTTTCTTATTTCTTTTTAAAAAACATG